ATAGTTGAGCGTCTGCCTTCGGCTCAGGTCATGATCCCAGGGTCCTGGGATCGAGTCCCGCATCAGGTTCCCTGCTGGGCGGGGAGCCTGCTTCTCCCTCTGCCTTTGCCTCTCTCTCTCTCTCTCTCTCTCTCTCTCTCTGGCTCTCATGAATAAATAAATAAAACATTAAAAAAAAAAAAAAAGAAAGCTGAGAAACTCCCCACGATGGCCCAAGCCATCACCTTAAATACCATCTTCAGCTAAAGACAAGAGATGTTGAGGGGGGGCAGTTATGGGAGGTTACCAAGCAAAGCACAGTAAACAAGGGCATGGTTGTAATGTAGATTTAAGTCCAGCCTCCTCCTATGAGAGCTTCTGGTGACTTAGAGTCATCCTCTTCCTAGTACAGAGAGGGAGACACCCGTACACATGGAGATTTCCCTTGTAAATGTAAATTTCCCTGACAAAAAGGGTAACTTCTACTCAGTTTTCAGAGCTTCTCCCATGTCTGCTGTTTCCAAAATAATTGGCTCAAAATAATCCTTATGCCAAAGAGACATATGGGATGGTATATTATGCTTACCCTTCACCACCCCAAAATATGCCTCTTTGGCATAAGGATTATTTCGAGCCGATTATTTTGAGAAACTGCAGACACAGGAGAAGCTCTGAAAGCAGAGTAGATGTTATCCTTTTGTCAGGGAAATTTACATTAAGAAGGGGGGCTGTACCAGGAAGAGAGCTATTACCACAGACAGATTTTTCATTAGACTTACCTGCTTGGGAAGGCAAACTTGGCTCTCCATACATTTCCTCTTCTCACCTTCCCGTGAATTGCCTTCCTCCACTTTGAAGCCTCAGAGCCCTGTCCCATTCCTTAGCTCCAGTTGTATTTAAGCCTCAATCACCTGGCTGCCTTTTGAGTCTCATATCTTTGTGGGTCTCTGGTCAGGAAGTAGGTAATTAAAAAAAATTTTTTCTTCTATTAATCTGTCTTTTTATTACAGTGGCAGGGGGGGTCTCACCTAAGGACCTAGAAGTGTAGAGGGAAAAATTATTTGTCCTTTCCTACAGTGGCATATTCTGCTACCCTTCATATGAATATAATAATAACCATACCAGTGTAATAAATCTTTCAAAAGAAAAAGATCAGAGTGTTATGATTAAAAAATAATAAGAAGAGGGGATCATATTATAAGAGAGTAGCCAGAGAACATTTTACTGAGAAGGTGGCAATTAAGCCCAAGACTTATAGATAAGGGGGAAGTTGAATGAGGGGAAATTGATTTCTGACGAGGAGGAGCAGGAACGTGAGGGGCTAAGACAGGAACGTGCTTTCTGTGTTTCAGGAGTTGAAAGAGGGACACCTCTGAGGCTGGAGACATAGGGTGGTACAAACACAAAATAAATCAAAGCCAGGACTAGTCATATAAATAAGAACTAAAACCAAGCACCTTATCATTATGGTATCTAAAGAGATTTTGGTGCTCGTCAGCAATGTAGTAGTGACTCCTTCATAATGACAGTGTACCTCTGCTCACTGAAACCATGGTTGATAAAATCACTGTTTCTGTTTATTTCATTTTCCCCTGAAAATGAAAGCACTGTTAGAACACTTAATCCTCTTCCTATTTTGAGGGAAAGTATGAGCAACTACCAAGATATCATTTCAATCTGTATTTTGTTAACATGGAGGAAGAGGATGGGAGGACAGAACAAAAATGTGAATTATCCTTATCAGAACAAACCCTTGGCAAAAGTTGTCTTCACTAAGGCAACAGTCACCACGGGCCCCTGGTTGGGGGGATGGTTTGGGCTAAAGGAGGAAGTGCTGGGGGAAAGGAAACCTTCTAGAAGCTGAACTTGTGAATCAAAAGGCATAAATTGATAGGAGCGTTAAGGTCATAAAAGAGCAATGAAGGAATAGGCCTGCTTTTCTTGGGCTAGTGTTTGCATGGGTGAGAGTAGATTCTGGGCATTTCCTGAATGGAGTGTGGGGGACGAGTCAAGGTGAAAGGAGGGATCGTCTTGGGGATCTGCTTGTTAGTTTCCTTCTTGCCTAGTCCTTACAGGAGACCCTCATGAATTGGTTTTGAAGCGTGTGAATTCTCAAACCTTCAGCCACAGTCTGAGTATCTTAGAGGGGAAGGAGTTGCAAGGTCTCTCTGTGCCAGGCATCCTTACAACCGAATCAGGGCTGTTTGCCTGTGTTAGAAGGTGGGAGGAGGATAGTAAAGTTTCCCCCAAACTGAGAAGGCACTTTGAGACCGGAAAACAGAGCAGGCCACTCCGTACAGTTTACACCAAATTGTATTCAGGGTAACTTACTGCGGGGTATCAGGCAGGTGACGGACAATCCAGACGAGACACAGCTATTCTTTGCAAAGTCTGGACCTTGGTCCACAGATTTTATAGAGTGAGGGGACTCCAGGGGGCACTGTAGTGAGGTCAGAGGGTTCACATGCATTTCACAGGGTTTGCATGCACCTAATTGACAGCCAACATTTAACAGACCTTGTGGCACCATATGTGCGTCAGGAAGGGGAGAGAGACTGGGTTATCTCTAATAGATTCGTGGGAGGCCAAAGCAAACCTCTCCACATTCTGGCCTTGGCTGGCATTTCTAAGGTACAAATATTAATCTCTAAGGGGCCCATAACACATAGACCTAAGACAGGTCAGCGAACAAGATGGAGAGGCAAAGATGGAGTCAGTATTGTCAGCACTCCTACAAGTTGCTTTCTAATTTGCATTCTAATTAGATTATTATATTAAAATATTGTACCAGGCAAATGCATTTTCTGTTTTAGGTTTCTGAAACAAAATTCTTATTCTCAAACGAGCAAGTTCTTTTATAGTACGAAAATCAATAAAAACATTGGGTTTGGATCTCTCCAGAGATAAGATGGTACTGTTTTATAGAAAGAAATAGTTAAAAAAAGAAAATACCTGAGTTTGCAGAGACCATGGTTTCTCAACTTATTGACATTTGGGGTCATACAATTCTGTGCATGTTTAGCTGCATGTTTGGCCTCTATCCACTAGATGTCAATAGCACTCTCTTCCAGTCGTGACAACCAAAAATGTCTCTAGACATTGCCAAGTGTCTTCTAGGGGCAGCATCCCTCCTTCTGTTGAGAACAACTGGTCTACTCTCAGGAGAGCCCTCTGTCTCATTTTTACCCCCCCCCCCCAAGAAAAAAACCCATACGGCTAGGATTTCGATTTTATAGATTTTACCAGCTACCCAAGCAAAACAAATGTCTCCTTTGTAAAGGTCAACCGGAGGCAAGTTTCTGGGCCTTTTTTTAAATGAAAAAAGGTGTCTCTGTGAACCTGCCATACAGAGTGGGTTGACTGAATAGCAGCTACCTTATCACTTTCTCAGATCCTTACTCTCATTCTTCGTAGTGGGGTGAGGCTCAGAGGGTCATTGGTAATGATTTATCTCAATTCATGTTTCTTCTACTTTCCCTATTGCTCTTGGTTCTACCCATCTGGGGTGCTTCTAAGGGGCAGAGAACTGGAGCACCCCCGATTATGCATGACGTCCTATCCATCATGCACGGATGTCTCAGCAGCTCTCTGTGTTACAGGAAGTCCACTGTGATTTATCAGAGACTTCCCACGAACAACACCTGGTGCTTGATTCTTTGTAGAAAAATCATGATCAGTGATGTGTGGCGTCTGTGTGGGACGATTGGTGCAATACACCTGAACGCTTGAATCTATAGTGGAGTCGGAGTGCTCCTTGTCCGTTGCAGACCCAACAGGAAGAAATAAACTTTGCATGTGGATACTTTTAGCTACTCCTTTACTGTGGCAGCAGGAGGAAGGAAGATTTCCCTTCTCCCCCAGCAAGAGCCCAGCCAGTGAAACAGTTACAGCTCAGGCAATGAGAAGCCACTGCAGTTCCAGCTCCCAGGTTGCTCCAGTGGACTTTTTGTTTCTAAAAGCCCTCCCAGCTTCCTCCTTTCCTCTGTAAAAGAGCATTCCTCTTTGTTCTCTGGACTTGTGTATGGTTTTGCTATAGCTTGCTTGTCCCAGATTGTAATTCTCTGCTATTCCCCTCCCCACCAAAACCCCATTTTTTTTTGCTGGTGAGATGACTGGCAGTGTTATTCTTAAGGTTAGCATAGCTCAAAGTAGGAAGAAATAACTCCTTTGGGGGCGCCTGGGTGGCTCAGTCGTTGGGCGTCTGCCTTTGGCTCAGGTCATGATCCCAGGGTCCTGGGATCCAGCCCCGCATCGGCTCCCTGCTGGGTGGGAAGCCTGCTTCTCCCTCTCCCACTCCCCCTGCTTGTGTTCCTGCTCTCGCTCTCTCTCTCTCTGTCAAATAAATTTAAAAAAAAGAAAGAAATGACTCCTTTTCCTTGCCAGATTCATCGGTACCTTCCTTCGTTTTTTCCAAAACCCTGGAGTGTTGCCCTCATCTCCGTTGGAAGACTGTAATATCGCATTGTATAAATAATCCAGAAATCTTCCACATTGCAAGCTAAATTACAGACGCATGCCACGCAAGCCTTTATTTCTACTAGCCCGGCAATGTAAAAAATTTACAGTGCTTTCGTGAACGTTTGCGTTCCAAAAATTGTCCCTCCTCTTCCCCCATGGCCTTTGTTGAAGAGAAATCCACGATGGAAAGTTTCATTACTTTGTACTTGTATGTGAACCTGGCTGGTGGGTGGGGCTCAGAAGATGATCAGTAAAGAAAGGAAACCCATTTGAGAATACCCTCCTTCCACGTGGCGCTAGTCTGCCCGCGTCTTCCTGTCCTGCGGAGACCGGGCGGCACCTGGTTTAGGTGAGAGGAGAGGGTAGACCGAGCGGCTCGTGGCCGACAGAGCAGCAGGCTGCTCTCTGAGCCGCCTCTGCCCCCTGCTTCCGTCGTAGCCTCCGGGCGGCTACTTCCTGAGAGTTAGATTCCGTCACCTCGACACACCCCAGCACCGGAGTTGCCTGCTGTGTGATCCCGGATAGCGGCGTCTTGACGATGGCCCCGCTGTGCTTTCTCCTAGCGCACCCGCTCTGGGAGACCGTGGACCTGGTCCCGGGGGGCGAGCGCCAGTCGCCCATCAACATCCGGTGGAGGGACAGCGTCTATGATCCTGGCTTAAAACCGCTCACCATCTCTTACGACCCCACCACCTGCCTCCATGTCTGGAATAACGGGTACTCTTTCCTCGTGGAATTTGAAGATTCTACAGATAAATCAGGTGAGAGCCCGACTGGTGGTCTTGTCTGGAGTTGAGGGACAGCCTCGTGTCAGCCCAGGCCACACCACACCGCATCCATGGGCACGCAGACCGCCTTGGCCAGTGGCATGGGACTCACTGCACTGAGCTTTTTCAACATATGAAAAAAATCCCGTCTAGTTTTTATGAACATTTTCTTCTACTAGTATAGGTAGTATTTATTAATAAGTATGTATATCTCTATATATAGATAAGAGATAGGATTTGAAATTAAAGCTTTGCCTAAAGTTTATTTTGTGTGTATTAAATATGTATTCATTTTCTCTGCTGACTTTACAAGACACTTTTACATTAAATAGTATTACTATTTAGATTTAACTGAGCAGATTGCAATACCTTTGAAATGGGGCAAAAAGAATATTCATGTGTACATGACGTTATTGTCTTAACAACCAGTTCTACATAGAAAAATGAAAACTCACATTCTGTTAATTTTATTGATTAAACAATATTACCTGGTTTAATAGAAACACAACTTAAAAGAAATTTTCAAATCCAAATGTTGTATTGCTTTTGAATCTTCTGGTTTCAACCTACCAGATATAGACTAATCTGAATGATTTCAAAGTTTACCTGAAACTTTTAGTGTCTGTTGAACACAGAATGTGATTAATTCTATGTAGATTTCTTTTCTCTTTTTCTCCTTTTCTTTTTCCAACCAAATTTGATGGTATCAAGTAATCTTAGTCTGAAATCATTTTTAGTTGAAATACTTTATCTTTAAAGAGTGGCTCTTAACCAGTGGCAATTTTGCCCTATCTCCCTCCCCAGGGGCTAGGGGACTTGGCAACATGTGTAGGCATTTTCAGTTGTCACCCTTGCGGAGTCGGGGGGAGGGGAGTGCAACTGACATCTTGTGGGTCGAGGCCAGAAAAACTGCTGAAGAAAAACTACAGTACACGGGGCAGCACTCACAAAGACTTACCCAGCCTCAAAAATCAATAGAGCCTCCAAGATTGAGAAATCCTTTTGGAAATTAGTTTTCTCTCATGAATATGAGGAGATGAGCCCATGAAAGTGTGAATGAATGAAGTAAAAAATGTAACCTAAAGCATAAACAGAAGTGTTCCCTCCTGTATCTATCCTGGTTCTGGCTCTAGGATTCTCACCTGTATCTTGGTTCTCTCTGCATTTTCCTAGTGATGCTCTGAAACTTAGACCCAGCCCTCTGGCCCCAGCCACAAACTGACTGCTTCTCCATTGGGAATTATCTCCGGCTCTCTTCCCTTTGACCTGCTTCTCTGCTGTGATCCAGGAAGTGCTCAAGTCTCTCCTTAAGAGTTTAGGTGTCCCTGTGTTCCCCATTTTCTTCTTTCTCCCCCAGGGTATGACCTGGCCCCCTAACCTTGACCATCTTACATATATTTCTCAAACTAAGAAGAAAGTAATTACTCCTTTTCCTCCCAAATTCATTAGTATCCTTCCTAGTTTTTTCCAAAACCCCGTAGTGTGCCCCCATCTCAACTGGAAGCCTATAATATTACATTGTATATAACGATTCCAGAAATCTTCAAAATAGCAACCTGCATTCCTATGTCCTAGATGACCACCTTACATGATGATGAGCTTTACTTTGTCTCTGTCGAATTCTACCGTTACTCCTGCCAACTAGACTAGTGGGCAGACCCAGTCTGTAAACACCCAACTCTCTTGCATGCACTCGGGATGCGTGGTGATCCTCTCAAATCTCAGTCCTATGTAGGGCCCTGGCAACCTTCTTTCTTTTCTTCTGAGGATCCTAAATGTTGGTTAGCCTTCTAATGACCTTGCTGATCTAGAGACTGTGTTTCCAATCTATGATTGCTTCACTGAATTGGAAATTGTGGGAAGTTGTTCAGTTGGTTTCTTAACCAAGTGAGTTAATCTCCAGATCATTCCAGGCAAATAGCTTTCTGTTTTATTTTCTAGTCATTTTTTTTTCTTTTGAACAATAGATTCAAGAATGCTTTTCCACCAGTTTGCTTGGGCAGTCTCAGATGGAAAACAAATGCCTTGCATTTTCCTCATAGTAGCTCATGAGGTACCTCCCAAGACAACTAACTAAATCATTCCTTGACGTCACTTTCTTTAGGTGTGTCAGAGTGTCACACTGTTTTTACAAAACATACAAGAAAAATTGTGGAGAGGTTGCTAATTTTCTGCTTGTTTTGTTAGGAAGGACCAAAATAGGTAACCTCTTTTTATTAAGCGTTAATAATCATTTTCTTTAAGATACCATTAATCTATGATAAGTACCTAACTTTCGCTATCTCTTTCTTTTTCCACATTTCAGTGATTGCCTCCTATTTCCTCCTTATTCTTCATTGCTATTTCTCCATGCTGTTGCAAAATAATTCATAGCATTCAAAGAGGAAGAAAGAGTGAATGAACATAAAACCTAAAGAAAAAGTAAAAGAGAGCAAAGACTACCTAGAAATGAAGAAAGGCGAGAACATTGGTTCTAATTCTAGAAAGGAGCTAATAAATATCAACGTCTATAAATTTTAAAAAACTAGGCAATGCTTCTGCAGTGTGCTTTACAAAGAACTCGGGATAACGTATGCAAGGAAAGGGTTTGGGGAAGGTATGTGATAAAAAGAAAACATACCAAACCTTATGGGATGCAGCAAAAGCAGTGCTTAGAGGGAAATTAGACATGAAAATGCCTATATTGGAGAAGAAGAAATTTCTCAAATCAATAACCTAGCTTTCCACCTTAAGGAGCTAGAAGAAGAGCAAACTAAACCCAAAGCAGACACAAAGAAGGGCATAATAAAGGACAGAGCAGAAATCAATGAAGTCAAAAGTTGATTCTCCAGAAAGATCAACCAAACTGATAAACTCTTAGACAGGTGGACCAAGAACACAAATAAGAGAAGATTCAGATTACTAAAATCAGGAATGAAAGAGAGACATCACCACCAACCTTATCGAAATTAAAAGGATAATAAGAGAAGGTATGTGAGCATCTCGTACCGCCGCCCTTTGCTGGGTGCTGTTTTCTTATTTGTCTTCTCTGAATAGGACACAGATAGTGATTTGAATGAGTGCATGTGAGGGATACAAAATATTCTGGGGAGGGGCACTAAATTATGCCCTTGAATGATCTCTAATAATTTCACCTCCTCCGTAAGTACCCTCATCGCCTATGTTACCAGGCCTCAAAGGGAGGAAGAGGTGAGTCCTATTGTTCTCCTAAGGGTGCTTCCTGCCCCATCTTGCATCACTTTACACTTTTATGGGGCATCACTGGTAAACCCAGGAAGAATGCTTCCACAGACATTTGAAGTTCTTCCGAATTTTGGTCCCACATTTACTTTTTCAGAGAAAACAATGTGATGATTTTTAGCAGTTTTAGAAGGTGGTGGAACCATTAGAACAGTCCAATTTTAGAACATTTCCATCACCCCCAGACAGTTTCGTGCCCATTTCCTTGCATTTAGTTTCCTTTGTTTGGGTCCTGTGTATCGCCTTTCCCTTCATCATCCCTTTCTCTGCTAGCTCCTTCACCTTCACGTTATTTTTTACAAGTTTAATCCTTTCTCACCTTAGAAAACCAAAAGAACAAAATGTCAACAAGCTCAAATAAATAAATACATATTTGTTTGAAATATCTTATGACTACTCTGCTTTCTAATTTCCTATCTTCCGTCTCCCTTCTCTGCTTGTTTCTTGCTGACTATACTTGCCTCTCTCATCTACACTTCTGCTCCCCCTTACCCCACCCTTTTCCTCGCTCTTGCTGAGGATACGAGTGATGTTTCAATTAACAAACCCAACAGACACTTTGTAGTCTATTTCTTTAGTCCCTGGTTTCATCCAGGATCTAAGTGCCAGGCACTGTGCCAGGTACCCAGAATAGAAAGAGGAAGAAGAGACGGTCGGTCGCTGCCTTTAAGGAGCTTACAATGGGGTGGGGGGCAGACAGACCCTTGAAGAGACAACGCTAATGCTAATGCAGAGTGCTAAGTGCTGTGAGGGAAGTGTTCACGTGGGCTCCAGTGGGAGAAGGTTTCCTGGCAGAGGTGACCTCTGGGTAGTCCACAAGGAGGTGGAGGTTCAAGGAAGTGCACTGCTTGTATTAGGTATTACTGTGTGTAGAGTGCAAGAAGGAAGAAGACAAGCACATCCTGAGGTAGGCAGGAGCCGATACTCGGAGAGTTCTGCAGACTGTGCCCAGAGATGGGGAATCTGGGTGCACCTTACCTGGGAACTCTTGCTCTAGGTCTCATACTCGGCTGTGATTGAGGTGTCAGCTGTTGTTGGCGTTTCATCTCCAGGCTCCTCTGGCAAGGATCCTCTTCCAAATTCACTCAAGTGGCCGTTGGCAGGAATCCGTTTCTCTCAGGGCCTCAGTTCTTTGCTGGCTGTTGGCCAGAGGTTGCTCCCTTTTCCTTGCCAAGTGGGCCTCTCCGTAGAGCAGCTCACAACATGGCAGCTGGCTTCGTCAGTGCGAGCAAGTAAGAAGAGTCTGAGAGGGCAAGCGAGATGGCAACCAGCATCTTTTTGTAACCTAATCTCAAAGGTGACATCCCATCAATTTTGCCCTTAGAAGCAAGTCACAAGGTCCAGCTCATACTCAGGGGAAATTACATAAGGGTGTGAAGACCAGGAGATAGGGATCACTGAGAGTCATCTTAGAAATTGCCAGGACACATGGCTAATGGCACAAAGCCCATTAATGCAAACTGAGGTCCTTTTCCTGTAAAGTGAATGCTCTTAACCACATCATACAGGAGAATACCTCCCTATCTCACGTCTTCCCTATGTACAATTTATATAGGTATAGTACCCAGCACATGTAGAGACTTTTTTTAAAAAGATTTTATTTGAGAGAGAGCGAGAGCATGAGTGGGGGTAAGGGGCAGTGGGAGAGGGAGAAGCAGACTCCCTGCTGAGCAGGGAGCCCGACACCGGGCTCGATCCCAGGACCCCTGGGATCATGACCTGAGCTGAAGGCAGATGCTTAACCGACTGAGCCACCCAGGCACCCCTACATGTAGTGACTTAATGATTTTTCTAGCTAGAAATGCCCAAGTCAGATGCCTGGGTTTCTCTCTCTTTTTTTTTTTTTTTAAAGATTTTATTTATTTATTTGACAGAGAGATAGACAGCACAAGTAGGCAGAGTGGCAGGCAGAGGGAGAGGGAGAAGCAGGCTTCCCGCTGAGCAGGGAGCCCGATGTGGGGCTCGATCCCAGGACCCTGGGATCATGACCTGAGCCGAAGGCAGCCGCTTAGCCGACTGAGCCACCCAGGCGCCCCCAGATGCCTGGGTTTCTAACTTCCCTCCCAGAGATCACAAAGGTAGAGGTACAGTGCTGTAGAGATAATGAGCCTGAGCCAGGCAGGGAGAGTCTGGAAGAAAAGGCAGTGATGGTGACTGTGAAGAACTGGCAGGACCATCTAAAGGCAGTGGCCATTTCTCCCGCCCAGCCTGTTGCCTGGCGAGCATGTGCCCAACGTGGGCAGGACATCTCTTTCTCAAGTGGCAAATGTGGATTTTTATGTAAAATTGTCTAGCTTTAAATGTTGGTAATGAACTTTAAAACGTATTTAGTATTGTGTGGGTGAATCAAAACACACCTGAAGACCAGTTCTGCCCCCTTCCTCCTGCAGCTATCTATTGCAAACATCTTTCTGCCTTGCTCATTATCTTGGGAGGAGACACACAGTGAGTGTCCAGGGTATGTTGCCAGTTTTTCTGGGGATAGGAGAGAAGGCCTTCCTCTCTCACCTTGCTCACTTAACGGGATGAGACCTTCAATTTCATTAAACACATTAGATTGAATATCTGCCAAAATCAAGCTCACAGTATGGAGCTGGCATAGAAAAACACGTTTTGGGAAGATAATTTTATTTTTATTTCAGTATGCTCTAGTACCATCCTCCTAGTAACTTAGTGAATCAGGTGGTATTATTCTCTGCACCTCCCCTGCCCCTCAAAGAAAAGTTCTCATTGGTATCTTTGCTCGCCTCTTTAAAAAACTTTTTTTTTTAAAGATTTTATTTATTTATCTGACAGAGAGAGACACGGCGAGAGAGGGAACACAAGCAGGGGGAATGGGAGAGGGAGAAGCAGGCTTCCCGCGGAGCAGGGAGCCCGATGCGGGGCTCGATCCCAGGACCCTGGGATCATGACCTGAGCCGAAGGCAGACGCTTTAACAACTGAGCCACCCAGGCGCCCCTTTCAAAAACTTTTAAGAAGAAATTATGTAAAATATTTTCAAAAGGCAGTAAGATACATAGCAGACCACTGCATGACATAGCCAGTGTATTTGGTCCTTGGGGTCGTACATAAAATTCAACTAGTGATGCAAGAAGCACTAAAGATCACTAAGATAGATGAGATGGGTAGGTTTTGTGCTGTTGTATTGGTTTAACCATGGACAGACATCACCAGGGTTGGATTAGATGGAAGAAAAGAGGAACTAATTAATAGGTGTTAGCAAATTCAAGGGAAAAAATACCAGCACAACCCAAAGTCTGAGGAAGGGTGATTTTAAAATCTCGTTTTATCTGAATATTTTGCGTTTAATGTATTGATTTCCCTAGTTCAGAAAACTCTAAAGAGAAGGTATTTATTATCCAACATGGTGAGGCCAGTGGTAGAGTGGATGACTCACATTGTTCACTGTGTTCAAAGAGAGATGGGTGATAATTTTTCACTTGCAAATTTCCTATTCCATTTCAATGAAAGGGAAAGAAATGCTAGTATCTTCCAAAATTGAAAAACAAGGGGCACCCGGCTGGCTCAGTTGATAGAGCATGTGACTCTTGATCTCAGGGTTGTGAGTTCGAGCCCTGCGTTGGGTATAGAGTTTACTTAAGAAAAAAAACGTATCCGTGCATAAAGAAAGAGCATCTTTTGTCTCCACATTTCAGTTTTATGAGATTGGTTTGGATAAATATGTTAAGAGAAATTTGCATTTTATTGCACAATTAGAAAGCAGGCACAGTAACTCAAGGTCAAGATCATGTTCTAGGAAGAGGAGGACTCCCTCATCTTCTAGGCATAGGCAATCAAGAAGCAGACTGGAAAGGAGATCACATTCTAAGTCAAGGAGTAGGCGGTGATCCAAAAGTCCAAGACAGAGAAGATTTCATTCCAGAGAGAGAGGTAGAAGGTAAAGGAGTACATCAAAAACCAGGGCCAAAAAGAAAGAAGATAAAAGGAATGTTCCAAAATACCACCAAAAAGTTATAGCACAGCCAGACGTTCCAGAAGCGCAAGCAGAGAAAGACAAGGACGAAATAGGAGTGGCACAAGATCTCCTAAAAAGCCTAGGTCACCTAAGAGAAAATCATCTCACTCACCATCCCCTAGAAGACATAAAAAGAAAAAGAAGAAAGATAAAGACAAAGAAGGAGAGATAAAAGAGAATAATCAACAAGCAAGAAGAAGAAAAGGAAAGATCGGGAAAAGGATCATCAGGAAAGAAAATCAGAGTGAAAAAGATGTAAAAGTTACACAGGACTATGATGGAGAGGAACAAGGGAATGATAGCGACAAAGAGAAAAAAGAGAAGAAGCCAACAGAATCAAGTTCCCCTAAAACAAAAAACTGTTCTGTGGAAAAAGGAATTGGTGATTCACTGAGAGAATCAAAGTGAATGGAGATGATCATCGTGAAGAAGATAGAGATGTGAGTGGCTGCGTGTTGCCTCCATGGGGAGCCAGCTGCATACTCGCACCAGCGGCCGTTCCTTTGTCTGACTTCTTAATGCTGTATTTGTTCTCAAACCCACATGGATACAGCTCTGTTATAAATGGTTACATAGCTCCTGATATTGATACTAGTTACTTACATCCCCAAAGCTTGTGCAAAGTGATACAGGAGTAACCAGTTCATGACGTGATGAAATCTGATTGGGTAACCAAGCAATTTGAGTCTTCTGGTGCTGCTTCATAACAAACCTGAAAAGCAGCGTGCATCCACAGCAGGCATGGACTGTTTATGTTGTGTGGTCTCCTTTATTAAGTAAGTTCACTTACAGTATTTCTAGAATTTGATTCATTGCTGTAATACAGCCATATAGGAAATGAGTGTTAATTGTGGCAGGAATATCCTAAATGTCATTAAAATCCCCAACGTAATGGATCTGCTTATGGTCTTGTTTGCTGACATGACAAATTAGCGTTCTTATAGTTACATCTGAAAGTGAACATTTGAAATAGATAATCCTTTAAGCCTCATAGCTAAATTTTTGTGGCTTTTGTTTAACTTTGAAAGGTTATGTATGCACTCATTTTTTTTAACGGCTTTAATTACAGAAACAAGATTTCAAATGAAACTGTCTTTGGCGGTGAATAAGTAGCATATTTTGAAGTAGAGTCATATACTTTTTTATTAAGGTGTTTAGAAATTTTTTTTCCCTGAAATCATTTATCCCACCTCTACGGCAGTGAAAGCTATCTGCCTGAGTGCATCTGTAAAAGAAAGTTGTCTCTTGTCCTGATTTTCAATTTCCCACTCTTTCATTAATTTGTTTTCATCTCAGTGTTGGAAAAGGGGGGTAGTGCATTTTAAATGGACCTTCATATAAGACAGATCTACTTTATAATGTACTTTTTATTTGACTTTAAGTATAAAACCAATACCTTTTGTTACTGTTACTGCAATAGTAGTCTAATGCACACATTGATCCCATGTGAAATGCAACATAGTTAGGCAGCTGGGTTCTTAGTTACAGGAGTTTCAAGCTTCACTTTTGTGCAGTAAAAACTAAAGTAGGCTACAGTCTGTGCCATGTTGATATACAGTTTCTAAAATTGTTTTACAAGACTTTGATAATAAAACCCTTAAACTTATTTTATGTTCCTGTAAAAAAAAAAAAAAAAAAGTGGGCACAGTAAATACAGAATATAAAAATAAGCCAAGAATTGGCCTTTAACAGTTGTAGGTAGCTTGGAGTGCCATTAAATCTCAGTGTCTTCGAGAGTGCAGGTCGTGCCCTTATACCTGTATTGACTGCATGGAAATCAAGTTTCTATACACTTGTATCTAATATCTAAGTGGGCTCCGCTTAAGACAGTTTATGTAGAAGGTCCACCCAAAGCTCTGGCCTTTCCCCCCACATTCCTCCATGGTGTGAAAAACTGTCCCCTGAATTGTTGGGCATGCCATTTCAGTGATCGAGGGAGGACCCCTGGAGCACAACTACCGATTGAAGCAATTCCATTTTCACTGGGGGGCCATCGATGCCTGGGGCTCCGAGCACACCGTGGACAGCAAATGTTACCCGGCAGAGGTATGTTGAGCAGCTTGGGAGCAGTGACAACTGTGAGGCGGGGACAGTGCTGCGTTTCTAAGACAGCCTCAGGAAAAATCAGGGGGGCGGGTCCTATAAATGCTAAAGCGTTCTCTCAGGCATATGTGATTACTCCCAGTTTATACATGTAAACATGATGATCTGCCCTCATCTCAAATAATAGAGCAGAAATGACCCTTAAGATCCTAAAACAGAATCCTTCCAGAATTTTAAGCTAGGCTCAAATTATAGCCTGAAGTTATAACCTAGGCCACCATGCAGGGCCACCAGGTTGAATTAATCCAAGTGAGAATTGGTAGGAGCCTCAAGGAAGGCTGTGGCGATAGAAATAGAGGAAAAGAGCAAGATTTAACAGGCACTTCTGAAATAAAAAGGAACAGGACTTGGAGGCAGGGTCCACTTCAGGAGAGGAGAAGAACAAGTGAACCGTGACCTTGAGGGTCTACTTGGGAGGCTGGGTGATGATGCATTCGTGAATGATGGACAAGAAATAATTTGTAGGGAGGTATAGGGAAGGCATAAGGAAGTAGAATTTCTTCTTACAATTTTTCCCCTAATTTAGTTTTAGATGTCACCTTAAAAAGAAGCACATTTTAAGTGGTTATCCCTCAAAGAAATTTGTCTTCAACTCTTGTCTAATTCCCGTGGAGAGAATCTATTTCTCTCAATATAAATCTCTCTCCTTAGGATGCAAATAGATTTTGGATATGATGGATTCATGCAGATCAGTATGGGAAAGGACAGATGTTGCTCCCTTACTGAAATATTACTTTGTTGTATTTTTTTTTTATTTTTCTCTAAACAAATCCCTCTATTCAGAAGTAATATTAGGAGTGCCTGGGTGGCTCAGTCAGTTGAGTGGCTGACTCTTGATTTCGGCTCAGGTCATGATCTCAGAGTCCTGGGATCGAGTCCCGCATCGGGCTCTACCCTCCATGTGGAGTCTGCTTGAGAGTCTCTCTCTCTCTCGGCCCCTCCCCCCCAAGATAAATAAATATTTTTTTTAAAAAAAGAAGTAATACCAATTGCTGCTCCTGCATGCAATTCTTCCTATTTATTTCTATCTCATTTTGCACCAGATTGGTATATGCTTTTCTCAGCGGCTTTATTTTGGGTGAGGAACCATGTTAAAATACCGTGTTGAATAAAGCTGTTTGTTGTGGAGCGATCCTATGTGGTCATGTGTCAAACCAGCTTTTAATGGTGTTTCAGCTGCATTTGGTGCATTGGAATGCAGTCAAATTTGAAAACTTTGAGGATGCAGCATTGGAAGAACATGGTTTGGCTGTGATCGGAGTATTTTTAAAGGTAAGAAAGTCTGACCGACTTTAAATGATGTATTGTATCCTAGGATGAAAAGATACAACATTGTAATATTAAGATCTAAGTGTATTGGGATTAAAAAGAAACAATGACTGGCTTGTGGAATGTTGTACACCTGAAACTAAAGTAATACTGGGTGTCAACTACACTTCAACTTAAGAAAACAGGAAAGAAAAAAAATAAACAGTGGTTAAAGTACAAGATTGCTATGAATATATTTCAAATGGTATAAAAATGCACAGTCCAGTAGTCACAAGCCACATGTGGCAAATGAGCTCTTGAAAAATTTTTAATTTTAATTAATTAAAATTTCAGCATAAGGACTGCTATTTAAGTGGAGCAGGGGCACGTTTCCTGCAGGCACGCAGACCCCGTCAGCAAACAGCCTGCTCATTTGTTCTGTATCTAATTGAATTCAGTGATGTTTTTAGTGATCTAAATTACCAGTTTAAGTGTAGTATAAGTCGTGTGATTGGTTTGTTTTTATGTAATCACCAGGTGACTAATTTTAATTCACATTCTGTCATGTTTCAAAAGTGAGATGTCAGTTGTTTTTAATATTTTCTCATTGCTGCTCCTTTAGCTAGGCAAAAATCACAAAGAGCTACAGAAATTGGTGGATACTTTGCCATCGATCAAGCATAAGGTAGTACTATTTTTCCCTAAGTCACTTGAAATACATGTTATGTTTAATCTCAGAGTGGAGACACTCACAAGGCATGTTGCGAGTTGTCGTGGAAGAGCACTTGCCACTTCATATGTGTGTGTTGAGAGCTCCCGGCCCTGGGACACCTTGCAGGGGACAGAAGTGGTTCTGTGGGTGCGCGCTGACCACTTTGGTTTTGCTGCCCTGCCCTAGCACTCGGGGACTCGGGAACCCAGTGCTGTCCCCTCCTCTGCTCCTTCTGAGTCCCTGTGGAAACACTCAGAGCAGCCCTGTTGACTCGACCTCCCATCCCATGGGCAGGGAGCAAAGAAGCATTTGACAGAAACGTGGCTTGGCCTGTAAAGAATAATGACCTGTATCCTTCAGAATGGATACCTTTGTCCAGGCCCCAGGACTAACTGTTCATGATTCGGAATCCCGAAGGGGCTGTTCCCTGGAGGTCTGCATCTTCTCTCTCTCTCTCTTTCTCTCTCTCTCTCCCTCCCTCCCTCTCTCCCTCTCCTCCCCACCTCGGTCTCTCTCCCCACCGCCTCTTTCCCTCTCTCTCCCTGTCTATCTCCCTCTTTTCCCTTCCTTCTCTTCTGTCTCCCTTTTTAGTCCAGGAGCCTGGCTCCCCCAAATTTGCATTGTGTTTTAGAAAGGAGGATTCTGTTGGTTTCTCTTGAAAGAGAGAAGTCTCCTTGTTCATGCACCAGCTACTGCCTGATGCCTCCCATAGAGTTCAGAGGAGACCACCTGCAGTAAACTCACTAGAATGGAGGGAGGAAGTGGTTTGTGCTGTGTTCCCATGGAGGAGTATCAGAACTACATAGTTAATTACAGGAACAAGGCATGGGCATGATTCTGTCCTAAGGTACCCAGAGATCTCTAGACCATTGCTGGTCCCCAGACACCCCTAGATTCATCACTTCATCATCTGATTCCTGAGTGATTTTCACCACGAAATGATAACTTGGTGACCTCTTCTCTTGGCCAGGACACCCTTGTGGAATTTGGGTCATTTGATCCTTCCTGCCTAATGCCTGCCTGCCCAGATTACTGGACCTACTCAGGGTCCCTGACTACCCCGCCACTCTCCGAGTCCGTCACCTGGATCATTAAGAAGCAGCCTGTAGAGGTTGATCATGATCAGGTATATTCTTTCCACATTTCTGTCTGAGGAAATGCTAGCCTGCCCCTTTAAAACAAGGCTGGCCTCTGACTTTGGCATTAGTTGTTAACATCTTGTAATGCTTATACATTTTTATTAAAATGTGCTAATATCTTGTCTTAAAATTTGGATATAAATTAGGGAATGCTTCAAGTCAACTAGAGAGAAGAGTTAAAATTTAGGAAACAAGCTTTTTACTTTCATATTTGGCAATGACATATGTCTTATGCATTGTGTATTTTATATATAAATATGAATCTCTATATAAACAAGACCCTTTTAAAGGGAAGAATGAAGGCTGGAAATGGATGTGCTCAAAACCCTTTAAAATCCATAAGGAAATTTTGCTCTGGAACCTCAGGATAAAGACAGAATCCAACAATGTCTGTCCAGAAATTCTAAGTCAGATGTTTTGAACTTGGAGTTTATTTTCTCTTTAAAAGTAAGTTTAAGTGGGGGCGCCTGGGTGGCTCAGTTGGTTAGGCAACTGCCTTCGGCTCAGGTCATGATCCTGGAGTCCCGGGATCGAGTCCCGCATCGGGCTCCCTGCTCAGCGAGGCACCTGCTTCTCCCTCTGACCCTCCCCCCTCTCATGTACTCTCTCTCATTCTCGCTCTCTCAAATAAATAAATAAATCTTAAAAAAAAAAATAAGTTTAAGTGGTGATTACTATGTCAACGAACAAAATCCTGTTTAATTCATAATTTAACTAAACTACAGTAATATTTGTATATGCTTGCTTTATGGGCTTTTTATTAATTACAAAGTATTTTTACAAGAGCAAAAGCTTCCAAAATCTTTTTTATGAAGTCAGGATAACAGATACCAACATCCATCAAATATTGGACCAAAAAATAAAGATAAACTAAAGATTGAAAAATATATTTAATTTTTTTAAAGATTTATTTATTTATTTTAGAGAGGGAGAGAGAGAGAGAGAAAGAGCATGAGTGGTAGGAGCAGAGGGAGAGGGAGATAGAGAGTCTTAAGTAAGCTCCATGCTTAGCACAGAGCCTCATATGGGGCTCAATCCCATGACCCTGAGATCGTGACCTGAGCCGATACCAAGAGTCCGATGCTTAACCAACTGTGCCATCCAGGCACCCCTCTGAAGAATATATATATATATATATATATTTTTTTTTTTTAAAGATTTTATTTATTTATCAGAGAGAGAGACAGACAGAGGCAGGCAGAGGGAGAAGCAGGCTCCTTGCTGAGCAAGGAGCCCGATGTGGAACTCGATCCCAGGACCCTGGAATCATGACCTGAGCCGAAGGCAGAGGCTTAACCGACTGAGCCACCCAGGCGTCCCTGAAGAATATATTTTAAAGAAAGCAAAAATAATATATGAGAAATAGAAGCTAGCAGTACATTAGAAGAAATAATACACTTCAACCAAATAGTGTATATTCCAGCAAAGTAAGGATGGTTCATTATTAGGAATGATATTAATATAATTCATCATATCAGTGAATCTACATAGAAAAATCCTATAACCAGGGTGCCTGGGTGGCTCAGTCATTGGGCGTCTGCCTTCGGCTCCGGTCATGATCCCAGGGTCCTGGGATCAAGTCCTACATCGGGCTCCCTGCTCGGCGGGAGGCCTGCTTCTCCCTCTCCCGCTCTCCCTGCTTGTGTTCCCTCTCTCGCTGTCTCTCTCTCTGTTAAAAAATAAATAAAATCTTAAAAAAAAAAAAAAATCATATAACCATTTCCATATATTGTTAAAAGGCATTAGCAAAATTCACTATTCAGTTTTAAAAATTTTTTAAGGTTTGTGGGGCGCATGGGTGGCTCAGTCATTGAGCGTCTGCCTTCGGCTCAGGTCATGATCCCAGGGTCCTGGGATCGAGCCCCACATCGGGCTCCCTGCTCGGCGGGTAGCCTGCTTCTCCCTCTCCCACTCCGCCTGCTTGTGTTCCCTCTCTAGCTGTCTCTCTCTGTAAATAAATAAATAAAATCTTAAAAATAATAATAATAAAATAAAAATAAAAATTTTTTAAGGTTTATTTTATTTTTTAAAGATTTTATTTATTTATTTGACACAGAGAGAGAGAGCACAAGTAGGCAGAGCCACAGGTAGAGGGAGAGGGAGAAGCAGGTTCCCTGCTGAGCAGAGAGCCCGATGGGGGCTTGATCCCAGGACCCCGAGATCATGACCTGGGCCAGAGGCAGGCACTTAACCGATGAGCCACCCAGGCCCCCCAGGTTTTTTTATTTTAGAGAGAGCAAGCACACAGGGAGGGGCAGAGGGAGAGGGAGAGAAAAACTTCAGCAAACTCCTCACTGAGCTCGGCACTTGGAGCCTGAAGCAGGGCTTGACCCCATGACCCTAAGATCATGACCTGAGCCAAAACCAAGAGTTGGATGCTCAACCCACTGTGCCACCCAGGGACCCCTCAGTTTCATAAATTTTTAAATAAAATAGAAATGAATGGAGAGTTCCCTAACTTGATAAAAGGGATTGCTCTCAGTTCAAAAATAAATAGTATGCCTAATAGAGAAAGATTATTACCATATACAATTTTGTATTATGTTCCTGAAGTATCTAATATGATTAGACCAAAAAAGAAAAAACAAATTAGAGAAACAATAAAAAACTACTTCAAAAATAAGGTAATTCAGTACTTAGTGGAGAATAATATTAATTTATAAAAATCAATATACTTAACATATATAAATCATAATCAGTTAAAGGATATAATGATACAAAGTTATAATAGAAGAATGAACACTGTTTATAATGGAAACAAAAATATAAAATACCTTAGAGTAAGCCTATCAAGAAAATTTAACATGTAAACTTAAAACATCCCTGAAGGACATAAAAGAATTCATAAAATTCATACCACGCTATTAATCAGAAGACAGCATAAAAACACCTTTGATGTCCACTCTCTTTCAGTTGTTATTCTCCATTAATTGTTTATTCTCCCTAAATTTGATGTGGTCCATTTACTGTGCCAATAGGATTTTTAGATAGATGTACTGCTTCTAAAATCACACAGAAAAACAAACAAGCAAAATTGAGAAAATTCTGAAAGAAAAAATGAGAGATGATTAGATCCACAAGGTTATAAAGCCTCAATAATGAAATAGTGTGGTACTGGCACACAAGTGAAGAGATCACTGGAGGGGAGAAAGTGGTAAGTTCAGGAATATGGCCAAGTACATATGAGAATTTAGTTTGTGATAAAGGTAGCATCTCATCTCAGTTGGGGGCGGTGGGGATGAGATTCCTCAGTAAATGCTGTTGGGGGACAACTGGGCAGACACTGGGGGGAGAAAACTTAGATCCACCATTCAGACCTCACACAAGAATATATTCCAGATATATTAAATGTTAAAAACACCACCATAAAAGTGCTAGGACAAGCATAGAGAAATCTTTTATACCTCCAAATGGAGGAAACTTTTCTAACATTTTATCAAACCCAGAAGTCCTAAAGAAAGTAACTAGTAAGTTAGACCACAAATTTTTTTTTTTTAATCTGTGTGATAAAAACCACCAAAAACAAATTACAAAAAATAGAGAGCTTAACTGTCCATAAGCCTGGGCTTGGTGGCCTATACATTTAGTCTGCATCTATCCTTCATATTTAAAAACTGATATAACACTGAAAAATAAATCAGTAAAATCAGTAAATCAGAGGGTCAGTGGCCCATGTGAGGAGTTTTCAAATGAAATCTCAACACAGAAAATTCATTGAGAAAAAAAATGTTAGCTGTCATCTATAATCCCAGTCACCTATAATCAGTGTCAGTCACTGGGTAAATCCTTCTGGTTTTTTATCTATACAGATACACATAAATCCTTTTGGTCTTTTATCTGCATAAATATACATAAGTTTCTTAACCAAATGCAATCATTCTGTACCTACCATTTTGTTCCTCTTTTCAGTGATATGTAGAACATTTTATAGATAATAAGCATTATCTTCAATATTTTTTATGGCAATGTACTAGTCCATTTTATAGATCTAATGTAACTTGTTATTATTTTTAAAGATTTTATTTATTTATTTGAGATGGGGGGGGGGAGAGAGAGCATGAGCAGGGGGAGAGGCAGATCAAGAGGGAGAGGCAGACTTCCCGCTGAACAGGGAGCCCGACGTAGAGCTCGACCCCAGGACCCTTGGATCATGAGCTGAGCTGAAGCAGACGCTTAACCGACTGAGCCACCCAGGCACCCCTAATGTAACTTATTAATGATACTTGAGTTATTTCTAATCGTTTACAATTAGCTGAATAAAAATAAATCTTAACTACTTGGACATGTTCTTAATTTATGAGGGTATATGTATAATTTGCAAGTATGGTCACTATGTTTGGCACTTGCCCCTGGTCACAGTCCTGCCTCTGCAGCTCTACTTGACCTGAAGTCTTTGATCCAAACATGCTTGCCTACTGTGCCCCAGGCTGTCCTCTCCATAGTTGCAGTGTGCCTGATTGAGTAAGGAGAAATGTTGTGAAAAGATCTTATGGCTGGCTTGAAGTCAAGTGTTCCAAAATACGGTTGCTCAGAAAGCCAGGGGGGTGAGTGATGCTATTGCCATGTTAGAGAACAAGCCCTTGATCTGGGGCTGCTCCTTTTGTACTGTACCTTTTGTCCAATCCATTAGCCACTAGCCACATGTGGCCGTTTAAATTAAAATATAAATACAGGGATGCCTGGGTGGCTCAGTCGTTAGGCATCTGCCTTTGGCTCAGGTCATGATCCCAGGGTCCTGGAATTGAGCCCCACATCGGGCTCCCTGCTCCGCAGGAAGCCTGCTTCTCCCTCTCCCACCCCCCCTGCTTGTGTTCCCTCTCTCGCTGTGTCTCTCTCTGTCAAATAAATAAATAAATAAATAAAATCTTAAAAAATATATATACATATACATTAAAATAAAAATCAATTTAAAAATTCAGTTACAGGGCGCCTTGCTGGCTCAGTCAATAGAGCATGCATGTCTTGATCTCGGGGTTGTGAGCTTGAGCCCCATGATGGGTGTAGCAATTACTAAAAAATAAATAAATAAACTTAAAAAATTAAAAATAAATAAATACAGAAAAATTCAGTTCCTTAGTTGCACTGGCCACATTTCAAGCACTCAGTAGCCATATGTGGTTTGTGGCTACCATAATGAATCATGAAGAGGACATTTCTATCATCACAGCAAATTCTTTTGGACAGTGATGGCAGGGGGTATCCCACTGTCAAAAAGATATCCACATACACTGCCTTCTCCACAATGCCCAGGTACAGTGAGCAATGAAGAATACATTGTTTATGTTAATGATTTAGTTACATTTTGAAAAAATAAAACATTTTCAGCAGTATTACTATATGCATCAGGTCTTCCCTGTATTATCCTGTAGGCTAGTTATTTTGCCCATTTCAAGATGAGGTTCCGGGCGCCTGGGTGGCTCAGTTGGTTAAGCGACTGCCTTCGGCTCAGGTCATGATCCTGGAGTCCCAGGATCGAGTCCCGCATTGGGCTCCCTGCTCGGCAGGGAGTCTGCTTCTCCCTCTGACCCTCCTCCCTCTCATGCTCTCTGTCTCTCATTCTCTCTCTCTCAAATAAATAAATAAAATCTTTAAAAAAAAAAAAAAAAAGATGAGGTTCCTAGGGGCGCCTGGGTGGCTCAGTCGATTAAGCGTCTGCCTTTGGCTCAGGTCATGATCCCGGGGTCCTGGGATCAAGTCCGGCGTTGGGCTCCCTGCTCTGCGGGGAGCCTGCTTCTCCCTCTCCCACTGCTGCTCCCCCTTACTTGTGCTTGCTCTTTCTTTCTCTCTCTCAAATAAATAAATAAAATCTTTAAAAAAATGAAGATGAGGTTCCTAGAATCAAAGATGAAGTAACTTGTCCTTGGCAAGTGGCCAATATGTGGGGGACAGGGCCTTTGACCCCCAGTCTTCAGATTCCAAGTACCACATTGGCTTTACCACCTCCTCTCACTCTCCTCCCTACACATTTTAATCCCTATCTAGTAGTGAAAGGCATTCCTACCCAGAAAGAAGTTGTACTGTATCTAGTTGTGGAAGAATGTTTCAGAATTGTAAAAATGAAAGTTAAGCTGTTACTCTGTTGAAATTATTTATGCTTCCTACTTCTATTTCTAGCTTGAACAGTTTCGGACCCTGCTTTTCACTTCAGAAGGGGAGAAAGAGAAAAGAATGGTGGACAATTTCCGCCCCCTTCAGCCCCTAATGAATCGCACTGTCCGCTCTTCCTTCCGTCATGATTATGTACTGAATATACAAGCGAAACCCCAGCCTTCAACTAGCCAAGTGACCCCCTAAGGTGCTCATCTCTAAGCAGTACTTTGCTTTAATAAATACTAGCTTTTTAAAAATTGCTAACTGGACTATTCTAAACACCTGCATTTAATAATAATTATAGATATGCATTTCTTGGTGTGGCAGTGCTTTGTCAGTCTTTGAGGAAAGCTCTTTGGTAAACGAGTTCTTAATTTTATTGATAATGACATCTAAGGCTGAAGTAGCAGCACAAGACGGGAGTTTCTCCTTACAGCAACCTGTTGGTAATTGTAATGTCTTTTTATGTCTGATATTTCTGCGCTGCCCTTTTATGTTTATTAGTAGCTCTGTAGAGTTATAAGTAGGGATGGTAATCAAAATATTTAACAACTAGAAAGGCACAGACACCATCCAGAAGGCAGGCCTTTCAGAAACAACCCTAGGGCCCAAACTGGTACTTCCTGGCTCACTGAACATTGGCCATGGTTTTAGGTATATTTTATTTTAAAACATGAATGTATATTCTTTTATGAGGCCTTCTCAGTATTTGCCCTGATCTTCAGTTGTCATTCCTAGTACATGATATGCTTACTATCAATTTATGGTATAGAAAAAATATTTTGTAGTTCAAAGAAAACAAGATTTTACTTATAACTGGGAATCCTTTTGCACTTCTGAAGATTAGATATATTACTTCAGGACTTGATCATATAGAAAGCATATGCAGAACATTTTAAAGAAAATGCCTGAAGTGCCTAGAATTTAAAATTCTTTCATGACATATTTACAGAAATCTTTTTTGAAAGACTAGTAATATAACAGTCTATAGTTTATAGTGTTATTTTGCATTGTTTGTATGCTGTTTCATAAAATATAATGTTTTCCACAATGACAGAACTATCTTGACTTCCCTTGAAAACTGTCTGAACTTTATTTCATTAGTTGAGGTTCTTTGCAAGGCAGGTGCTCAACATAAACTTCCCAATTTAAACAGTGGTTTAGAAGACTTTTGCTACAGTAATAAGGAGAGAAACTTAACAGGCTAAAAATCTAGAGAATTCTACATATTCTGAGGAATCCATGCCATTGTTGCCTTTGCTTGTAAATATCTTGGAATGTTTCTAGTTGCCTATAAGCCTGTGTTCAAACTCATATTGCATTTACTAGTAGTATTTCTTTCATTAGTATGCTAATCATCTGATCTGCAAGGTAAGGTTGGATGAGTAGACTTAACACTACTGAACTGTACACTGGAAAAGGTTAAGATGGTAAATTTTATGTGTCTTTTACCACAATTAAAAATAAGTAATACGGGCGCCTGGGTGGCTCGGATGGTTAAGCGTCTGCCTTCGGCTCAGGTCATGGTCCCGGGGTCCTGGGATCGAGTCCCGCATCGGGCTCCCTGCTCCTTGGGAGCCAGCTTCTCCCTCTGCCTCTCTCTCTCTCTGTCTCTCATGAATAAATAAATAAAATCTTTAAAAAATAAATAAATAAATAAATAAATAAATAAATAATACATTCACTAGGAAACAAATAAGGTTGGAGTTGTCTGTGTAAGTTTGGGGGGATATCTGCTCTTAAAAAAGGGAGGGGGCGAAAGCATTTGCTTCTAAAATGCATGCCTTCTCTGGGAAGAAAATGAATAAAATTCTTAAAAAGGTAAATGGGGGGGGAGTTTATGTTAACTGTATATAATTGATCTGTTCAAACCATAGTTACCTTTATTTAAAAGGGTAAACACACAAGACACACATTTTCCAGAGCACATGGGCTTCCCTCCCAGGCCTCTTGCAAACTCCTCATGCAAAATTCTCTTGCAATGAGTCTTCCAAATTGGAGTGAGAACCAATGTACCAATGCCTGATTTGCCCTTAAATCTTAGAGCTACAAAGATGTATTTATTGGGTGTGTCCCGGTTTGCCACTCATGATTCACTTGCACCTGGTGTTCTGGTGTGATTATTAACAGCATCCTCTCACTCTCAACCATGTCCTGGTTTGCATGATAAATTCTTGGTCACCTTCTCCGTAGCGGTTATGGAAACTGCCTTGGGGAGGTGTGGTTCCACCTTAACCATATGATCTCCAAAGGGGTGCTGCAGATTCCGGGGCTACTATACACCCTAACAAGAAACTTTTTGTCTTTTGTGCCTCCAAAAGTGTTTTACTTGTACCTTCCTAAACTTGAAGGGGGAAAATGGGCTTGACGTCTGTCAGAGGGCTTGAGAAAGAATTTTGTATTAACATTGCTGCTCATCTTCATTAAATATTATAATAAAACACTTCCTTTACAATATTAATATTTGTTGAATGGCTTTTTCTTCCTATTAGTTTTTTTTTTTTAATATGTACAATATCTCTACAATTAGTGGGACATCCTTTACCATGTAGATCGGAAAGTGACTGGAAAACTCCTCTAACAGATTTATTAGAAAAGCAGGAAAACAAAAACCACCCACTCCTCAGCTCACCTCTGTCAGATCAGTGCATAATCTGCTGACATTCCAATAGGGCAAGCTGCTAGTCCTTTTCTCCTTTCCAGAGCTACGTGGGCTAGGGTAAAGTTGGCTATTCTAAAAGCAGGCATCCCCCTCAAAAAAACTGGGGAAGATGTCTTTCCCTTGCTCACCGAGGGACACATTTCTTTTGGTGCAGTATTAGCAAAATTACAGTACTGTAATCACTTCAGGTATTTTTCTGTGTCACTAGAAAAACCAACATTATTTACTTGATACCTATTCTACTTAATGTTTTATTGTCCTTTTAATTCAACTTTATTGGTTAAATTCTTTCCTATAAAATGTTATTGAGCAAAAATGGATATAGTTTATTTAAGCGAATAGGCTCTAATTTTAATCATATAATGAGTACATCTAAACAATACTGGCTACTTTACATGTAAATAGTAATGCATTCTTATTAGGAACTGAATGTTTATGGCCCCCCCATTCATATGTTGAAACCTAACCCCCAATGTGATGGTATTAGGAGGTGGGGCCTTTGGGAGGTGATTAGGTCATAAGGGTGGTGCCTCATGATGGGGTTAGTGCCCTTATAAAAGAGACCCCAGAGAGTTCTCTCACTTCTTCAGCCATGTGAGGATACAGCAAGAAGATGGCCATCAAAGAGCCAGTGAGGAAGTTCTCACCAGATACCGAATCTGCTGGCACCTTGATCTTGGACTTCCAGGCTCCAGAACTGTGAGAAATAAATTACCGTTGTTTGTAAGCTCCCCAGTCTATGGTACATTGTTATGGCAGCCCAAACAGACTAAGACACTTGTCATCCCTGTGTACATTCTGATTCCCACTTTTTGAGTTCAACCACTCTTCAGAAATGGTACTTTGGTTTGGGTTCTAGGTGGGGATATCGACTCTGCCAGCATTCCTTCTCAAACCACCAGTAGTTGTGTTGCTTAGCGCTTATCACCAAACAAAAGAATCAAGTAATAAACATTATTGATGCATAGTTCTTTCCTCTTTTTTTTTTTTTTAAGATTTTATTTATTTGAGAGAGAGAGCAAGAGAGAGCATGAGCTGGGGGTGGGGGGCAGAAGGAGAGCGGGAAGCAGACTCCCCGCTGAGCAGGGAGCCCGATGTGGGGCTCGATCCCAGGACCCCAGGATCATGACCTGAGCTGAAGGCAGACACTTAACCGACTGAGCCACCCAGGCACCCCAGTTCTTTCCTCTTTTAATCAGTTATATAAATATAGATTTGCATGTACTTTTCATATTAATATACATTAAGTATTTTATTTCACTATCTTAGGTAATAACTGTAATCTGGAAAATATATAAAGCCCTTGGTATAGCAATGACAGTTGGAGAGGACTTGAGACCCCACAGTATGTCCCTGAATAAATCTGGTGACTAATCCTGAAATTAATGGTAGGTGAGAAATGAAATATCCTTTCCTGAGAATTTCTGCACTGACCATTCAATGAATCCTAGTACCATAGTCCTACTAGAGCAAGAAAAAAACCAAATTAGTTCAAAGAGTCCCAGTCTGGCTTTCAGAGAGTAGACATTTTTTTTCTTGCTCTCCCTTTATGCTTGCAATAAATGTGGGATACATTTATGGGTCATTCTTTGGTCATTTTATTTTCTATTTTCTACTGATGATGTAAAATTAAAGTTTAGACATTTTCCCATAGAGGGGGGATAAACTAAAATGTACATACCTGAGAATAAGTAGATGGTGTATGTCAGGAACCAAGAAAAATGTTATGTTGCAGAGTAAAGATTACATTGTTCTATTTATTAGGATATCATAGTACAATGTATCTTTGCATTAAAATTTTTACATACTTTATTATTTTTTTTTTAAGATTTTATTTATTTATTTGACCGAGAAAGACACCGCGAGAGAGGGAACACAAGCAGGGGGAGTGGGAGAGGGAGAAGCAGACTCCCTGCTGAGCAGGGAGCCCGATGTGGGACTCGATCCCGGGACTCCAGGATCATGACCTGAGCCGAAGGCAGTCGCTTAACCAACTGAGCCACCCAGGCGCCCCTACATACTTTATTTTTATCTAATGATTTATTGAATTCAAATGCGGGTAGGTATAATTTGAGGTGAAATTGGCTTTTAGAATAACTTATGTAATGAAGTTAATTTGAGCAGTTCAAGCTTGTTCATGAAAATGAATTCAGTGGTTAATTGTTGAGGATAAATGTCTAATGCCTATAAAAGGAGATTTACATTCATTTGTAAATCATAATAAAATAAAATCTAAGTCTGTATCCTTTTTTAATTGGGAGCATCTTCCTAGAAGGCATTCTTTTTTTTTTTTTAGATTTATTTATTTATTTTAGAGAGAGAAAGAGAGAGCGTGTGTGCAGCAGGGGGAGGGCCAGAGGGAGAAAATCCCAAGCAGGCTCCCCGCTGAGTGTGGAGCCCCCAATGTGGGGCTCAATCTCATAACCCTGAGACCATGACCTGAGCCGAAATCAAGAGTTGGACACTCAACCAAGTGACCCAGGCGCCCTTCCTAGAAGACATTCTTACTTAGTGTTCTGACAGAAAAGTCTGGTCTAACTCATAAGAAATGTTACAGCAACCCAGTCACACTTTCAGAATGGTAGCAATTCTCAATGATTCTCTACGATTTTCCTGGTCACAGGAACCAGCAAAATTGGTGATTTGCACAGCTACAGTTTTTGCCACTCAGGGCATTCTCTAGTCAGGGGCTGTAACTAAGTCTCCACCTTCAAGGAATTTAAAATTTATTTCAAGAAGCAGCTTTGTGAAGGCAACAAAGTATAATATAGTGTGATAGGTGTTACAAAGGTGAAATACTTGTGCTAGGAGCATATGCAGGACAAGTACCAACCCACTCTTGAGGAGGTAAGGGAGTTTTCACATCAGTGATGATGATACAACAGCTAACATGTCAGAAACACTGTTGTCAGGCACTATGCCAACATACAGTACGCACTTGGAAACTATTATCACTACCTTGATTTATACAGATGAGAAAACTGAGGACTAGACATTAAGGAGTTTACTCAAGATCAGAGAGCCAAGGCTTGGGTTTCCCCATCTGTCCAACTTCAAAGTTTATGACACTAATTACTGATGCACTGAGCTGGACAAGGTCAACTTGGAGGTGTATTATTCCAAGTGTCTCTGCAAGAGGGAATAGGGCAAGGCTTTATGCACTTTGGGCGTCTGCTGAATGATTCCAAGGATGGACTAGAAGCAGGGGCAGTTTAGTAATTGGGTACCTCAGTGATTTTGATTTGGAGGAGAGAGGAACAAAGTTAGGCCAGAGAAGTTATACAATCTTCCTCGAAAGATGGGGATTGTTAATCATTTTGCAGCCGCAGCATGTCCTCAAGAGAAGCATTTTTTGTTCTTGGTCTTGTCTCTGCCCTTGTATATGTACATCACAGTCTGATTATTAGCAGGGCTGATTTTACTTTCTCAATCCTACTCTCACTGCCCCAGTTTAATTGCTCATCTAGACTGTGATAGTCCAGCTTCGTCCTTTATATTGCAAACCAGAGTAATTTACCTAAAACACAAATATGACAACAAACCTCAACTTAAAAGCTTTTCGATGGTTCCCTGTTGGCTACAGAACATAATTAGAGCCTCTGAGCATGGCTTACTAGGCCCGTCTACATAACCCAGGCCCAGCCCATCTCTACACTGTGTTCCTTGATACTCTGGCACTTCCCTTTAAATTCGATTGCCAAAATTCTTGGCGGTCTGGCCGATTCCACATTGTTTCACTTCTCAGTGCCTTTGCTTATGCCGATTTACCATTCCCACCTGGGAATCTCACCCTTCTCCACCTGGGTAAAGGCTACCTTCCTGCAAAACTCAGGCATCAGAAAGTTCTCCCTGAATCCCCGGTGGACTGTTAAGTAAACTACGTTGCCTGTACTATCTTATTTTATCTATGCATTGGTCCTTTTCTGCCTCTAGATTGCATATTCCTTGCGAGCAGAGGTTACACGTTCGCAGCCCAAGTGTTGATTTCCCTATAGAGGTGGCAGGTGTGAATGGAAGGGGGCGGACTCTGGAGTTTGTCTGAGGGGCTGATAAGTGGAACCGCAGAAGGAGGAGCCTGGACAAGTAGGGCTGGGAAGCTAGGCGAGTGACTGTGCGTGGGACGAGGTCTCGTGAGTGGATGAGGACAAGAGAGAGAGACAGAGAAGTGTGACTTTAACTTCCTGACACAGGACAGACCACTCTGGTGTGGGGGCAGGTAGTGATAAGGCAATGGGGGAGCGCTAGGAGGGAAAAATTACTTTCAGGGAGGGGTAGGAATTTTCGGGAAGGAGACGTTTATGCAGAGTTTTGGAAGACTAGCCGCCTATCAGAACCTCCCGTCTTCGGTCTTTGTTCCTCCCAGGCGGAGGCACCCTCCCCTCCGCCCGATTCCCCGCGGTACCTGCGCCTGCGCGTGGCCGCGCCCTTTCTCTTAAACCCGCCTCTTCCGGCCACCTCTGGTCGCGGGGGGGTCCTGTGTGGCGCCCTGGTAAGATGGCGGCGTCCGAGAAGATGATGTTTCCGGAGAAACCAAGGTAAGCTGGGTTGGGGGAGATGAGCCGACGAGAAGAGGGGACGGAGCTTCCCGAGGCTGGACATGGAGGATGTGTAAGCAGGAAGGAAAGGGGAGTTGGGCCAAGCAGGCGAGCCACTGCGGCCACTGGAGTCCTTCCCGGGGGTGCGCCCCGGACTGTCACGGGCGTCTGTGGTTCAGGGAGGCGAGGAGGGGAACAGGTGGCGGGATGGAAAAGACCTGCCATCTAGTCGTGGAATGACGAGGCGATAGTAAATGCGTGTTCCGTAATTAAAACCTGGGAAGCAAGGTTTCACTGCCGGGCACCCGAGCGATTTCCTGTCACTGGGCGCGGCGGGGTGCGGGGCGGGGGTGGCATTCAGGCAGCGCCACAGGTGCGGTCAATTGACGCTGGTGTGTGCCTGTTTCAATCTTCCAGCCACAAAAAGTACAGGGCCGCCCTGAAGAAGGCGAAACGAAAGAAACGTCGGCAGGAACTGGCTCGATTGAGGGACTCAGGTAACCGACTCCTCGGCCTGTTTTCTGTGTATGAAATTACTCTCTCCGCTCGCGTCCTAACTTGAAGCCGCAGTGCCAGAAGGAAGCCACGTACTTATCTGCTGAAAAATTACAGCGGCTACTGCCTCCCAAGTAAAGTTATGTTAGACCCATTTCAGAAACGATATTAACGTACTAAAGAGGGGGGAAAACGAAAAGGTCTTGGTGAAATCAACCACTGATTATGTGTAAGTATTTATGAAGTATCTGATATTACAGGTGCAGGCATCATGAATTACAGCAGCTAGCACAGCCCTTGCACATAGTAAGTATTCAGCGAGTCTTTTCCTTTGAAAAACCATCAGGACTTGAGCGGTTTAGACATTTTGCAAATTTTTCTGAAACTTGAGTAACACAAAAGACCCATTGTTGACTCAGATTATTATTAATGCCACTGAAGTATATATATAAGCATAAAGCCAGATATGAAACTCTTATTTGACTATAAAACAATATATGTACAAGATTATAAAACCAGGTGAAATTACACATCCAGTAAAATTCAAATCTGCGTTAATGTAATGTTAGGGATGATGTGAAACAAGCTTTCAGCATGAACATGGTACTGATTGGAGTTGGGAGTGCCACTCCTGTTGCACTGTAGTTATTTACCAGTTGTTGTTTTTTCCTGTTAAAATACTGTGGCACCTTCATCTGTACTGGCGATGGTGTCATTTGTCCTTCACATGGCAGAATCTAACAAATATATATTAAACCCGCCTGTTTAATACAGTGAAATTAGTACTAACTTATAAAATTATATATTAGTTATAAATGCAGATGGAAGCACTGAAATCACACAGTAGTACTGCATTATAATGTTTGCCATCCAGATTATGCAGGCAAATCTTCAGACATTTCTTTTTTTTTTTTTCTTTGACGTATACCTGACACATTAGTTTTAGGTATACATTGTAATGATATTTGTATACATCGCAAAAATGTATCTAGACGATTCTTGCAGTCCACAGGCAAGGGCCTCTAGTAACCAGTATTCTTTAGCCTTGTAAAACATAACTATAGACATTTTATTTACCCTTGGAGTTGCCTAGTAATTATTTTTAATACCAATACTTGGAATATTTAGAATGGGAGGAGCAGGATGTTTACCTGTGGCCTGTGTTAGCATCTCTCTTTTATTTAAAACTGGACCACTAAAGGCAGGACAAAGCATCAGGGATAAAAGGAAAAAACAGGGTAGGTTGGAGTTATTGATGCCCTTGGTGTCTGTCTCCCCCCCGCCCCCTTAGCGATCTTTGTTTACTTAACCTGTTTTCTTCCAATATAACTTTTTTTTTAACTTCTTAATCTTTTTTTCCCCTCTTTTAAATCCTAGAGCTGTTGTTTTTATTGCATTGGATCCCCCCCCCCCCCCCCACCTTTGACTTCGCGAAGCGCTTTCAGAGTGAGCCTTTGTGGAGAGCCGGGTGGATCATGTTCTTCAGCAGTTTAGTCAGTTGAAGGATACAGTCACAGGTTTGGTCAGGATTATATAGCTAATGGCAGATCCAAGTCTAAGCATTTGTCTCTGGACTACTGCTCCTACTTTGGCCCATTCCAACTCCTAATTCTTAGTGGTGCCTCATGAATAGTGTGGCCTACCAAACACTGCTGTTCATTGTAGCACACATTGGATGGGCAAACAATACCCAGAAGGCTAGAATAGGGAGATGGTCTATAAGAACTGCTGTTAAGAGTGAATTGGAGGGCACCTGGGTGACTCAGTTGTTTAAGCGACTGCCTTCGGCTCAGGTCATGATCCTGGAGTCCCGGGATCAAGTCCCGCATCGGGCTCCCTGCTGAGCAGGGGGTCTGCTCCCTCTGCCCTCTTCCCTCTCGTGCTCTCTGTCTCTCATTCTCTCTCTCTCAAATAAATAAATAAAATCTTTAAAAAAAAAAAAAGTGAATTGGAAAATGAGTGGTAGAAATTTCTGGAATATTGACCTCTCCTTTACAGGTAGCCTCTTTAGCAGTTCTACCCGAAATAGCCTGAAATGAGCTGCCTTGTCAGAAATTAAAGTGACCTTAAGAATAAAAAGCAAGTTGCGTGATTCCAATTTATAGTTATATGTATGATACAATTAGATATACTATACTTAATATGTATCCTTGCATATGTTTGATTGTACGTATTGAGCAAATGCTACACCCAGTACTGTTAATGATCACTTCTGAGGAATGTGAGCTTGTTTTTAGGAGGATGAAGGGGTGAGTGAGTCAGGCAACAGATACATATATGTATGTATATACATATATATATATTTTAAAATATTTATTTATTTGACAGAGATAGCGAAAGCAGGAACACAAGCAGGGGGTGTGGGGGAGGGAGACGCAGGCTTTCCGCTGAGCAGGGAGCCCAATGTGGGGCTCTCCCAGGACCCTGGGATCATGACCTGAGCCAAAGGCAGATACTTAACGACTGAGCCACCCAGGCGCTCCAGGCAACAGATAGTTTTGAATATCAGCTGTGCCAGGCAATGTCTAGTCTATGGGTCAGTCAGTCATAACTCCTGTGCCAGGTTCTCTGGAAGGCCCTTTATGTACATTAACTCATTTAATAATCTGAATAATTAGATTTTATTCTCTGTGAGTTAGAACTTATCCTAATTTTTTTTTTTTTTTACCTATTTTAATTTTAGGTGCTGAAATAATGAAATTTACTTAAGTAAATTGTAATTATCTAGGACTGGGTGTGCCTTTGATTAGACCTATACTCAACATATGTGACAGATAGAAAATCTTTTTCCTTTAAGCCTGAGATCTTCTGTTATATTTCCTTAGGATCACTTCAGTTTTCCTCCTTTTTTCCCCCAAATTTAAATTCTGAATGGGAAGTTATATATATATATGTATTATTATTATATAATAAGTTATTATATTAAAGATATTTTCCCATGTTCTTATTGTGAAAATGTTCCAGTGTACAGAAAGTTGAAAAAATGGTACAATAAATATCCATGAACACATCATCCAGATTTGCCAGTGTTAACATTTTGCCTTACTCCCTATATAGATGGATACATATGTACATATTTTTTTCTGAATTCATTGCATGTCAGTTGCAGATATCATGATCTCTCACCCCTAAATACTTCAGCCTGTGTCTCCTTAGAATAAGGAGCATAATATCAGACTTGCAGCCAAGTAAGGAACAGTAATTCAGTGGTGTGATATGCAGGCCATACTTGAACTTTCCCAATCCAAGATTGATGATTGTGAACAGTTCAAGCCAGTTGTCTGGTAGAATGCCCTACATTCTGGATTAGCCTGTCTTCTCCTGATTAGCTTCAGGTTACACTCCTTATGGCAAATACTACAAAGCCGGTGCTGTGTACTTCTCATTGCACACATCAGGAGGCCTGTAATGTCAAGTCGTTCCACTCCTAGTATTGCTACAAGTGGTCAGAGTGTTGTCAATCAGATGGCTCCATTGTAAAGGATGTCTCCCCTTTGTAATTAGTACTCCTCTGTGAGCTGATGTTCTGAGATGGTGTAAGTATTTTCTTCCCAACAAGCTTTCATCCGATGTTTTTAGCATATTTTAAAAAATCAGTTCTTTAGTTGGGGTTGCAAAAATGACCTTTCCACTTAAGTCTTTCTGCATTTTTTAGTTGCCATTCTTCTGTAAAGATGAATGTTCCTTTTCCTCGACCACTTTTTTGAGTATCACTGTGGAACCATCAATTTTTTATTTTTTATTTATTTTTTTTTTTTTAAAGATTTTATTTATTTGACAGAGAGAGACACAGCGAGAGAGGGAACACAAGCAGGGGGAGTGGGAGAGGGAGAAGCGGACTTCCCGCTGAGCAGGGAGCCTGATGTGGGGCTCGATCCCAGGACCCTGGGATCATGACCTGAGCCGAAGGCAGACGCCCCCATCAATTAGTTTTTTAAATTGAATGTGTTATCTACCATTATTGTTCTTTTTGGGTTTCAAATTGTTTCAAATTTGGTTAGTTGGAACCCTTATTAGAAGGCTTTAAAAACAGATTCATACCATATCTGTAAAGATTAGATTTTATCTTTTTTCCCCCTGAATCATTGACCAAGGTTTTACAATATATGGATCATTTAATAAAACATTTTAAATTTCCTTAGGACTCTCACAGAAGGAGGAGGAGGATGCTTTTATTGAAGAACAACACCTAGAAGAAGAGAAACTGCTGGAGATAGAGAGGTCAGCAGTGATCGGAGAACTTCCTCATGAATCCAGTTGTTTTATTTGAATATTATAAGTCTTGGGGCACCTGGGTGGTTCAGTTCATTGGGCATCTGACTCTTGATCTCAGCTCAGGTGTTGATCTCAGGGTCGTGAGTTCAAGCCTCGTGTTGGGCTCCATGCCACTTAAGAAAAAAAAAATAATAAAAAGAAAAATAATGTAAGTCTTTATGAACTAGTACAGGTCTTCTTTATAACACCTTGTACAAAACAGGTCTTATAAAATAACCCTGGATAAAATATTTAAATCTCCACCTGACAGACTAAAATGAGATGTTCTCATTTTTCTAAATGGGAGTATTTTTCACTATTTTTGCTAATTTGAAAATGTTTTTGAAAAAGAAATTGAAGTAAGTATAAAGAGTGAAAGGGCTTCAATGAATTCAGCATACCCAAAGATAGCCGCTGTTAAAAATATAAGAGTGTAGATGTACTGTATGTGTTTATGTCTATAATGGGAGGTTATTTATGCATTTTAATTGCTTTTTTTGCTTAATATGTAGGACCTGTATTTCAGTGTTGATTCAGGTACCCGATTCAACCATTACAGTAGCAACATAGTGTCCATTGTATGGATGTAGCATAATTTATTCTTGATTCATAATCTGTAGTTCTCTACTGATGGAGATTTGGGTTATTTACTATTAAATAACATTCACTTAGTATTTACCATGAATTTCCTATTTCCTATTATTTACTATTAATTTATACTCACATATTTTTACAATTCTATGAAAAGTTGCCATGAGTATCCATGCTTATATATCCTTGGTAATTGTCCTATTATTTCCTCAGGAAGATGCCTAGAAATGAAATTGTTGGGATCAAAGGATAAGTACATGTAAAATGTTGATGGTTGGGTGGAAAGGGCACCCCAGTTTGCAGCCCTTCCAGAAGTGAAGCAAGGTTCCCGTATCCCCATACCTTCTTCACTCACACCAGGCATCAAGTTTTAAAACCCCTGTAGTGAAAAGTTGCATTTCATTGTTTCAAATGTACATTTCTTAATTAGTAAGTTTGTGTATTTTTTTAATATATTTTATTACCTATTTTAGATTGCTTAAGTATTGCACCTTTCTCTTTTGGGATACATTTTTTTTACATTTTGTAAGCAAGGTTATTACTGATTAAGGATATTCATCCTTTATCTGTCATGTGTGTGATGTATGTTTTTCTCATTTGTCATCAGTCCTAACTTGGCTTATGGCATTACCTATCATAATTTGATTTTCACGTCATCAACTTTCATCATGATATCTGCCTGTGGTGTCTGGACTGTAAAAGGCCTCCTCCATCCCAAGATGATGAAAATCTTCTGTTTCTCTCAGTATTTTTCAGGGGGTAGTTTTTTTCCCAAACCGTGCACAATAATGTTAATGTGCTTAATGCTACTCAACCGTACACTTAAAAATGGTTAAAATCCTAAATTTTATGGTATGTATATTTTGCCACAATAAAAAAATATTTTTAAAAAGAGTAAGAAAACTTTATAGACACTCTCTAGCTATTTAGTGGCATGTTTAGTAGGGAATGTTGCTGCTTTGCATGTAATTCACTCCTGTTCTCCACCTAAGCACATAAATAGGTGCAATCAGCAAAATGCCAAAAGAAAATGTAGTAGTGATTGAGAACATGGAGTCGATTGAGCCAGAACTGCCTTCTAGTCCTGGCCCTGCCACTTAACTAACTGTGTTCAAGTTGCTTATCTCTCTAAGCTTCAATTTCCTTGTCTTAAATATAGAGATAAAAATGGAAAAAAAATCAATCCTAGTACCTACCTCATGGAATTGGGGAGATGAAATGAGGTGGCAAGTATATGCACTTAACCTAGTGTTAGTAGATAGGAGATGCTGTAATAACTCTGGTTGTTAGAGATTTCTGTTATGATGAAGATGATGTATATGGTTGAAATAGGGGTCATTTTTGTTGTTTTCCCATTTAATTTGAGGTGCTTCTTTTAAATCAGGTAACCAGATCTTTGTGTTCCTTTGATCTTTGTTCCTGTACCAGTCGCATGATAGTTTGTTGTTGAAAAGCAAGAGAATGAATTCTGTGGAAATACCGTACGGCTTTATGTACTGCCTTAAAGCAGATGTATAGCCTCCGAGAATAATGCAGGCAGATGATAAAGTGGCGAGGTCAGCTTGGATTGCGTTACTCCGGACTGTAGGGGCAAGAGCTCCATTTGGATTTGTGTAGGGGCGATCAGTGCCTTTACAAGGGAGAGTGTGGGAGGAGTGCAGGGGTGCAGGGGAACTAGAGAGGGGAGGAAGGACAGAGGGTTGGGCAGGGTAAATGGGACTGGGCCAGCTGCACTTGTTAGCAGGCAGTTAGGGAAGTTAGGATTCTAGTCTTTCACAGAGGCTGGGACACAGGGGCCTTCTCCTTCTTAAAGATTACATTTCCAAGAAAAGGCTCTCAGGTCCTTGAGAGAGACCGAGTCACAGTTATAAGCCGTTTTTAGTAAATGCTCTAAGAGAGCGAGGGCAGGGGCCAATGGTCCTGTTTTGGCTAGAGCGGAGAGTCCGTTTTCCCAGCAGCTTTGAGCTTTGTCAGGCAGGCATTTTAACGGGGCAGGGGGCGGATGGAGGACTGGAGTCAACCCCAGGGCACAGCCTGACAGTGCTGGAAGCCAGGCTAGATGCTCCTCAAGTCCTCCCATTGCGGGGGAGTTCTTCATTTCTGCTTCTCAGCGGTATATGCAAGTTACCAACATTTCAACTCTCTAACCTTGACTCTTTTAAGGTCTTAGATTTATATGCGCTTTGGTTCGGTTTATATACAATTAATATGTTCCTCCAAAGACTTCTAAGTCAGAATTCTACACACTGAAACATCTATACATAACCCACAACATGCACAGGACCATTGACCTATGTGATGTGCCTGCCTCCACCATGGCGAAAAGATACACTCCGGAAATCTGGAGTTGGAAATGAAATCTCTTTTCCCATAGGGTATTTGGAATTGTGAATAGGTTCCCCAGGCTATACCTAAAACCTTATGTAATGCCTAATGTTGCTGAAGTAATACAGAACTGTTTCTCGTATTTCACTTCCCTTTTACAAATTCAGTGGGAAAATGCAATCTAAGTTCTAAACACCTGATTGGCTTTTGAACTTTTGAAATGTAACCCATCACGGGGCACCTGGGTGGCTTAGTCGGTTAAGCAGCTGCCTTCAACTCAGGTCATGATCTCAGGGTCCTGGGATCGAGCCTGGCAGGGAGCCTGCTTCTCCCTCTCCCTCTGCATGCTGCTCCCCCTCCTTGTGTGCTCTCTCTCAAATAAATAAATAAAATCTTAAAAAAAGAAAAGGAAAAGAAATGTAACCCATCTTTCAGTTAGAAACTTGTGGTATTAATGTCTGAGATGCTTGCCATTTTAAGGTAACATCACTTTTTGTAATTGGTCATTTTTAAAAATAAACTAGACACCTGCTAATGTATTTGTATAACTCCTTGTCATCTTAAAACCCGTAGCTTCCTTTATTTTAAAACATGCTCAAATAGAGTTTTATTTCCTTTTTTTGAGCAGTTTACATGCTAGGGGCAAGCCACGGCGGACTCTTAACTGTCTAGAGGAGCAGGGCAAAGATAGAGGGTGGCAGATGCCAGGTTTCCATAGTGCTGCGGTCTCGCGGGTACCGCTTGTAAAATGCATAGAAGAGGAAGGGTAGGACCTTCTGAACGTGAAAAGCTAGATGGTGCCTTGAGACTTGCTGTCATCTTTATTGACGCCTAAACATCCTGATGGTCAACCTAAAGGGAAAGTTGTAGTGTCCTCGTTCTATGTAAAAGATGTCACCGATAGGAAATGTAGAAGTAGGGATTTTCAGCTGTTACCCTCTAGGAAGAGAGCTACTGAGACAGAGTGCTTTTCCAAGATCACTACTCATATCTTCTGTTCCTCTCACCCTCCACTTAACTGCTTTCTAGAAAATACCTTTCGTGATAGCTTAATCATTCCCAAATATGTCATTTTGCTATCATTGTGTGTATGTAATTGTAAACTAGTGCTCATTTCTTTTATTTGATTACATCATTACATTGTAGGCAAAAATTACATGAGGCGTGGTTACTTCGGGAGCAGAAGGCACAAGAAGAATTCAGAAGAAAGAGGGAAAAGGAAGAGGCAGCTAGAAAACGGCAGGAAGAACAAGAGGTACGATATTAATCAGATGGCCAACTAACTAATTAGTTAACCAAAATAACTCTCAGTAAGAGTTACGGATCTTGAACTTAAAAAAATGGGTAGTACCCCTTTTACCAGTGGTAAAGTTTTTCATTTATCTGCCCCATATGTTAAATGTTTTCAAAAAGTGAGTGACAAGAATTACCGTTCCTTCTCTTTCTTTTTTCCGGTAAAGAGAAAATTAAAGGAAGAATGGGAAGAGCAGCAGAGAAAGGAGAGAGAAGAGGAGGAACAGAAGCTACAGGAGAAGAGAGAAAGAGAGGTGATTCCTGTCACAGGAGGATAAACGCACTGCGTATCCTCTTGGTGCACAGATACGGTGTGGGCTGGGGCTGAAGAATGAGCTGTAGGCATATCAGGGTTTGGGCTTTGTTTTCCTGTCTAGGAAGAGTCCTGTTTTTAGTACAGATACACGTTAGAGTTCCCTTATCTCTTCTTTGGGTCTGTGCAGTGAAGTTTTTCCTTCAACTACCCATCTGCCTGTTTATACCAGACATTGGCAAACTTTCCCTGTAAAGGCCAGAGAGTAAAAATTTGGGGCTTTATGGTGTGTATGGTCTCTGTTGCAAGCATCCAACTCTGTTGGTGCGGCATGAAAATAGCCATAGATAATATGTAAATAAATGGTTGTGGCTGTGTTCCAATAAAACTCTGTTGTTTTATTTTGAAAAACAGGCAGCTGGCCCCTGCTTGCCACTTTGTCCCACCCCAGAGCGAATGTATTTTTGCTCTAGCTCTTTACATTCACACCAAAGTGTTTTTCTGAGATTGTTGTATATGGGTTGACCCATTTAGAGAATATTTTGTGTTGTGTTCACATTTACTGAGTTAATAAGACATTTAACTGCTTATAACATGTCAGCAAGAATGAATTGACTGAAAAAAAATCAGGAACTCCAATATTGAGGAATTAGGAAATATTTTTTGTTGCTAAATCTTGACTTCCTTTCCAACTTGGCTATAAAGGCCATTGTAGCTAACACATAGTTACTCATTAGAAAAAAGAATCTATAAGTGTATGTATGTATCTTTCAGGATCTTTTAAAGATTGCTTTGGTATATTTTGCTGCTATTCCTTAATACAGTGTATTTATTTCCAAGATCCCACAGCTCATCATTCCTTGACTGATTTCCTCAGGATGTATCTTTTCTATCATATTCCCAAGTTTGAATAGCATAAAAGTAGGTAGTTTTCATGGAGAAAAATTCATTTATTTATATCCTAGTCATGATAGGGTAGAAGCAGCCTCCACAAACTTTGTTTTTTGTGTGTCAGGTCATCAGTTAATTCTAGTGCAAATTTTTTTTAAGATTTATTTATTCATTTTATTTTTTATTTATTTATTTATTTTTAAAGATTTTATTTATTTGAGAGAGAGAGAATGGGAGACAGCATGAGAGGGAGGAGGGTCAGAGGGAGAAGCAGACTCCCCGCCGAGCCCGATGCGGGACTCGATCCCAGGACTCCAGGATCATGACCTGAGCCGAAGGCAGTCGCTTAACCAACTGAGCCACCCAGGCGCCCAAGATTTATTTATTCATTTTAGAGAGACAAAGAGCACATGTGAGAGAGAGTACGCGAGCAGAGGAAGGGGTAGAGGGAGAGAATCCTCAAGCAGACTGCCTGCTGAGCGTGGAGCCTGACGCAGGGCTCGATCCCATGACCCATGAGATCATGACCTGAGCCGAAACCGAGAGCTGGACGCTCAACTGACTGAGCCACCCAGGCGCCCCTCCAGTGCAGATTTTTAACACCTTCATTTGAGCACTGTGTTACAGATGAGGCGAGACCATGCTAGCTTTTTAGGGGGCAGGGAAGTTGTTGGGAGCTTGTCATTGTTTTTATAGAGTAATCGATTCTCATTTTAACAGTAGAATGTTCTCAATTGAAGTCTTTCTGGCATCAGATAAAAGCAAAGGCTTCTTTTAAAAAAGCTAAGGCTTTTGTTTCAAAGGAAGTCAGGTGAGACATTATGGAGAGGCAGGTAAAATGAGGTAGGTTGTAAGCATGTATAAAGGGATATGCAATCCATGTTTCTGCTGTGTGCTAGATACTTTTCTAGTAGAGGGATAAGAGCAGTGAAAAACACAGTACCTGCTCTCCTTGAGTTTTTTAGATGGGGGAGCCAGATGATAAGTAAGCAAAAAAGATAATTTTAAGTGCTATGAGATAATGTTAAGTGCTATAAAGAAATAGATAGAGTCATGTGATAGTGATTGGGATAGGGATGTACTTCTTTAGATTGCCTGGTCAAGGAAGACTTGTCCAAGGAGCCGATGTTTGAGCTGATATCTGAGTGCAAAGATCTTGGGGAGAAGGGGTCCAGGCAGAGGGAAGAGGCCTGAGCATGGAGCTGAAAAGATGTCAGGGTGCCTGAATCTTGGAGACCAAAGGAGAGAGCGGTGGGGGTGAGGGAGGGGCTCAGGAAGGTAGGCAGGGTCAGCTCATGTAAGCCCTCGTGGACTGGAAGGAGGAGTTTGGGTTTTATGTTAAGTGTCATGGGAAGCCATTGCGGGGTTTTTAAGCAGGGTTTGACTTCATTTAATTTATATCTATACCTTTACCAGATCATTCTAACTTTTGTATATAAAGAAGGGGGGGAGAGCAGGGAGTGGTCACCCAGGAGACAGGAATGAAAATAGAATGAGCAGTTAGAAGGCCACTGTTCCGGGTAGGACATGACGGCGGTTTGGATGAGGGGAGTGCTTAGTAAGGATAAGTACTCAGAGCTGGGGTGTGTGGCGGGAGAGGTGGTGGGGCCCTGGCTTGGAGACTGAATGGGCAGGGAGGGCAAGGAAAAGGAGAGGAATTCCAGTTCTGCTTCTTAGGTTGTTAGTCCGAACAAGTGGGCAAATGAATGGCAACATCAGTTACTGAGATGCGGGGCGTTCAGGTGGATGGGGGTGAAGAAGACCCAGAGCTGCATTGTGAGCACGTGAAGTTAGCCAGGACCCCCACGTGACCGGGTCGCATTCTCAAGCAGCTAGACAGAGGAGTCTTTTATGTAATGCTTTAAGGGGCTAGGGAAGAGAAGTCTGTGAAGAATAATTTAAAACTTTTAAATGACAGTGAGCTCAGAATTTACTAGTATATTGCAAGACTCCTTTGCCTTACCGAAAAGTTTGAGATTTTTTCATCAACCCGAATTACTACTGTTCATGTCATAATTTAACATCTGTTAAGTGTTGATGTTTGATCTAAGCATTGCATTATATAATAATTCACTGATACTATATCACTCATCTTGAAAGCTAGAATGTGGTATATATGATCAAATATGCTAAATATTACTGTTACTGAAACTATTATAAGACTGTGTTTTGCAATGGGAGCTAATAAATGTCCTATTTGAATAAACATTCTCAGCTATATGTCCTTTGAAAGCTTTTCAGAAGATCTGTGCTGTAGAAAGCAAATTAGAACCTGAAGCCTTTGGCGTGTGTTTGTTTTTTTTTTTTTTTAATACACATGAGCTTCTTAACCAGAGAAACCAGACGTGACTTTCCTGACTTGCAGGTTTTCATTAGTCCTATGTTTGCACCATTTGTAGGAAGCTGTGCAGAAGATGCTGGAGCAGGCTGAAAATGAGGTATTTTCAAACCTTTCATTCAGAATTTGAGACCAGTGAACATTTCTTTAAAAACCGTCCCTCTAGTAGAATGTTAATTTTGTGGTAAGCTATGTAGGTCACGTCTGAATATCAGAATCACTTCTGCAGCTCTGTGATTTTTACAGCAGCAACAGCAGCAAGAGGTTTTTGATGAACAAAAGCAAATGGTATCAAGTTGTGTCCCCTGTGGCCTCCCCCCACCCCCCGCCCCATGGACTGTACTTATAGTCCTTAAAGTGTGTGTGAGCAACACCACGCGCTGTTGTCCCAAAATAAACGGTTGAACTTGCTACAGAGCAACTTGGGTCTCTCTCAGGGGTGGTTCCCTGACAAGTTCTTTGACCCCATTCAGAATGGATGGGCAGCAGGGAGACCTCAGTGACTGCTTCCCGTAGCCACAGCGGTGCCCAGTCCTGGGCAATGACTGGGAGCCAAGAAAGACACAGTGCATGTCTCTGGATGATTGTGAAGTCTCGATTGCCTGTTATGACCTAAATGTGTATATTCTTAAATCTATTTTTGTTTTTTTTGACCAAAATAATTTGAATACATGGATTTTTACACCACCAATAAAGTCGTGGTTATTTTCAACAGTTGGAAAATGGTGCCACATGGCAAAACCCAGAGCCACCCATGGACTTAAGGATAATGGAGAAAGATCGAGCTAATTGTCCATTCTACAGTAAAACAGGAGCGTGCAGATTTGGAGATAGGTAACTAATTTTGCTTTATCATGTCAGAATTCAGTGCATCAGAATGTGGAGGTTGTTCAGTTCTCTCTTTGGGAGCACCACGGGCTTGAGTTTGAAAGGTCCCCGGTCAGGCGTTGGCTGCATCCTTGCTGCTTCTCCGGTTGCATTACTCCTCTGTTCCCCCGGCGGGCTCAGCCGACTTCTCTCCTGGGGCTTCCTTTGCATTCCTTCCACAGCTTCCCAGAGACCTTGTGCTTTTTGTCTTCCTGTGCTTGCGTGAGTCCACGTGGGACAGCTTGGATGGGGAAAGAACATATTTCAAGAGACCGGAGGAACAGCTTGGCTTTATTTATTTACTTACTTACTTACTTACTTCTGAGTGGCCAACACTGTGCACAAAAGAGGCTTTGAAAAATTTGCATGCCCAAAGGGATATCTGTGAAAGACAGGACCCGAGTGAGTGAGGAAAAGTATTCTAATGCCCCATTCTCAGTCTGTCGGCTCTGACTCAGGAACAGAGCCGGGGTGCAGAAGCGGACTTGAGCAGCTGTCCCTTTGGGCAAGTTACTTAAGCCTTCTGTGCCTTCGAAGGAGGTGGTGAGGCTGCAAGGAGTGGATGAAGGGCAAGCCCGGACACCGTGGTGGGCATACGGCAGACACTGTCCTGAGTGGTCGCTGGTATTTTCATTTTGTTATGGTTGCCTTTATTCTCTGAGACACTCCGTTGCCTGCCTTTTTTGGCTCAGTGTTGTTTTTTTCTCTTCTTTTTTTTTTTTAAGATTTTATTTATTTGCCAGAGAGAGAGAGAGAGAGAGCACACACAAGCAGGGGGAGAAGCAGGCAGAGGGAGAAGCAGACTCCCCACTGAACAGGGAGCCCGATGCGGGACTCGATCCCAGGACCCTGGGATCATGACCTGAGCTGAAGGCAGACGTTTAACCGACTGAGCTACCCAGGCGTCCCATGGCTCAGTGTTTTTGAAACAAGGCATTCATGTAGAGAACTAAGTGTCGATGTCTTCATTCATTTAGCAAATATTTAAATACTTGATAATATGCCAGGCATTGGTGATGTTTATCATTTGGCTTATTTATGAATGAACAACTCAAAGGAGAAAAATAATTTATAATGGTGAATGAATCTATCCAAGACGAAATCTAATGATTACTAAGCATCCTGCAGAAGAGATCTAATCATTTCTTAGGGTCCTATTAATCCCAAAAGGGCTATGAGTAGGCAAATTCATATGTATTTAATGAGAAAACTGTATGTTGTCAGTCATGTTATTCATAAAATTATCCAAGCCATGAGTTTCATGTCCTTCTTTAAAAATACAAACTTTCTCTCTCTTCCTCTTATTTTTCTTTTTTAAGTCAAGCCCTCATGCTTTTTTATGTTTTTTAAGAGCAGTGGCTCTCAACCCAGGTACACGTTAGAATCCTCTAGAAAGCTTTGAAAAATTTATGTCCTACCTCCGGTTGAGTAAATCTCTGAGACTTGGGCGGCCTTACTTTTGAAATGTCCTCAGGTGTTTCTCATGAGCCCTAGGACTGAGAGCCACTCATGTAGGATGTGTAGCTCCTTTTATAGTTTATAGCTGGGGTTGTATGAAGCCTGTGAAAGGATTCGTAGGATGTGGTCAGTAGCAAACGCCTCCTCTTGAGGAACTAGCAACTAAGGAAAGGAGAAGAGACTTTATTCCCTTTTACCTTTAGAAAAATCTCCTGAACATATGCTTAGTTTCATCAAGAAATAGTAATGATTGATGTTAAACACCCCCCACCAAAGAAAACATGGGAGGTACCTTTGAAAGACAATTGAGACTCAATGTAAATTCACATTTGTGTGGGTAGCCGAACCAAATGGCATTTAAGGTTTTCGGGCTGCAGAATTCCTCGTTTATGATGTATCTCTAACATTTCCTTGAATTCTGAGATTGTGGTCATCTGATTCTAAATTCTCCTTTTGATGGGCACAGGTGAGAGAAGGGGAAAAGTCCTAAATGGACAGTGCTTGTGTGTGGAAAGGAGAGTGGGCCGCCAGGCTCTCCCACCCACCCCTGAGAGTCATTCCAAGGAAATAGTGACAGTGAGCAGATTAGTTTGTAAACATTTCTTCGTATTTTTATAGGCATATGAAATTTCACCATCCCAGCAATCAAAATACAAGAGCAATTTGGGTATTTTCATCATTCAAGTGATGAATTGTGAAATAAAATTCTATGAAATGAGCAGTTACAAAATCCAAGTACCACCCCTTGAGACAATGAAGCGTTCCCCTTTTCCAGAGAGCCGCAGTGACTTGCTCCAGAATCACACAGCTGTTCTTTCCTGTTAAGGCTTGTCACTTCAGACAGACACTTCCATCACCCCAGTATTTCTTTAGTGGTTCTGGTTTTGTACTTAGTCCACAGTTCAATTCTGGGACCTTTCTGGAGTTGATACTGCTTGGAGTCACAGCTTTGAAGGGAGTTCTGTGTTGTTGTTCGGTTTTTTTCCCCTCCTGAAAACATTATCACTGATGAAAGGTAAACCTTATTAGAGTAGTTATTCGTAACTCCCTGGTTTCCAGAAGTGATGGAAAGAGGGCTCATACTGTACTGCCCCAAGTGTCATGAAATAAATGGAAAGCCAGGGAAGGAGGAGAGAGGGCGTTACTGTGAGTGTGCAGTACACTTGGCTCTGGATTTTAACGCAGCCCAGGCAGAGATTTAGTTCTTACCAAAAAGGAAGAATGCGTGGTATCTCTGGAAAGACTGAGATTTTCCAGGCATCAGATCCTAACTGTTTCTCCCATGGAATACTGCATAAAGACACTGAGGAAGGAGGTGGACGATAACTTCGATAGATGTCTTATGAACAGCTGCTTACGTAATTTTCCCGAAAATGTTTCTTATAGAGACCTTCAATAAATTATTGCAGCCCAATTTCAGCATGTAACTTGAAATCTGTGAAGGACGAGGGTAGTGGGTACCTCGAGTGCTCCCTCAAGAAGAGAAAAAGAGGTGTCCGTTAGCTCTACCTGAGGGGGCATCTGGAGATCCCATGGTTCATTGGCTGACCTTGGGCTAGGGTAACGTCTTACTATGTGATTTCAGGGCAGTCTTACTTGATTCAAATATCTGCATCATAAGTAAATAGCATGGCCTAAACCAGGGGTTCCCAAACATGGCTGACCTTCGGGATCAAGTGGGGAGTTACTCTGAAAATATGGTTCCCCACCCTCAGGTCTTAACAGATGGTCTGGAACAGAACTTGAGAAATCTCAGTTCTTTCCAAGTGATTCTGGGAATCACACAGGTTTGGTATCACACCTATAGATTGCCTTCCCAAATATCTCTTGTCTTAGCTGCCTTCTCAGTAGGAGCGGTAGGGCTAGCCCTGAATATACACAGATTGTATGGACTGTCTCCAGGCCAAGTGGGGATTTTCCCTCAACAGGGACTTGGGCTCTGTTCCAAAACTCAGATGCTCGCTTGACACCCTAGGAACTAGAGCCAGGTTCATTGAGATGTAATAATCCCATGAGCAGAATTTTAACCCTGTTAAATTGGTTCCTTGTTTAAAATCTGTATGTGCTTCCTCCGTGTAAAATTCCGATTCACCGCTGACACTTGCAGTCAGCTTGAACTTTCACTCTTTGTGCTGTTGGTAGCTATACTTGGGAAGACGGATCTCATCACGAGGTCTCTACTGAATCATCTCGGAGGGTCCCATGACTGGACACTGCACATCTCTGAGCCGGGTGCGCTGTGCGGGGGGCACCCTGAGGTGTCTCACGTGGGGCACAGATGTATATGCTAGACATGGGAAGTGAGGAGGAGGAAAACATTTAGTCATTTTGAGGCGATTGATTTTTCTAGCACTTGCCTTTTTCTTCAGCTTTTTTTCTTCCTTAGTTCTGGGGATTTTTTCCTAAAAATTTTGTCTTAACCAGTTTTTTAACTGGAAACCTAATCAGGAAAATCTGACTGTTTGGAACCTTGAACTGCATTTTTTTTTTCCCCTCATTTTCGGAGAGGGAAGTAAATAAACTCATGTAAAAGACTTAAATGACTCAGGTACAACCTGGTTCAGCTTAAACTATGAAAAGAAAGTTGTTTTTCGTAATGGTTAGCCACCTCATGACGCAAGAATTCTCCGTATCATATCATATATAGTGAACAGGTACTAGACTGGAGGTTAACTCCCATCTCTTGGCCCTCTCTGAGCAGCCATGCGCCTTGGGTAAGTGTGCTTCTCTAGGCCTCAGCTTCCCGCTTTGCAAAGTGGGGACAATACTAGCCCCAACTGTCCTCACGGGTTGCGAAGATCAGAGGAAGAAATATAAAAATGCCATGAAAAATACGAAATGCTATATATACATATGTGAAATTGAACTATTCTGTTGGCTCGGAACTCTTACATTACCCTATTCTCTAAGCCCTGAGGTAGTTGAAGATCGTATAGACCCAGGATTGTATTGTTCTCACCTTCCTCCTGAGTCCCACATACGGTATCCTCATGCCTGTCACCGCAATCTGCCATGTCAGCGGACCTTCTTTTTTCCTATGCTTTTACACATACAAGGCTTTGTGAAGTTCATCAAAAGGCTGCTGAATGGCATATGAATGTGGAAATAATTCCCACCTTTACATCTTAATGAGAGCAAATATATATATCGGTCAGTCTTAGAGCAGTTTAAGTGTTGCAATTTGACACCTGGATGGCGTTTATTATCTTGCAATTAAGCAAGTTCTTTGAGTCTATCTCCAAGCTTAAAGGGAGCTTCTGATGTGTGATTGCTAACTCTTGGAGTGCTGCATTTAAGTTCTCCTTTCACATGCAGGTGTTCACGTAAACACAATTTCCCATCCTCGAGCCCCACACTCCTTATTAAAAGCATGTTCACAACGTTTGGAATGGAGCAGTGCAGAAGGGATGACTATGACCCGGATGCCAGCCTAGAGTACAGTGAAGAGGAAACCTACCAGCAGTTCCTGGACTTCTATGATGACGTGCTTCCTGAGTTCAAGAACGTGGGGAAAGTGATCCAGTTCAAGGTGGGTGTGCACGATGCACATGAAGAAGGGGACTGCTTCACTTCCCACCAAAGTGCCCTAGAGGACGCAAGCGCTAGGGCACAGGCTGTCTGCCTGGGCGGGCCGTGTGCGATGGCACAGGGCCTGGTCCAAAGTTGGGCCCCCAGGTGCTCGGTAAATGTGACTCCCTTGCCACCAGTCCTCGTTGCCTGTACGGCAGAGGGACTACCTGAAATCCGAGCTGCATAAGGTCCTGCAGGTAGCCGTCCCAGCGTTCAGTTAGAGGCTGCATATGACGGCGAAGGCAGCCCCTCCCTCCCTTGTAGTGGGTCTCACCCCGAGCCACGGTGCACGGTGCGCGCGGCATAACACCTCTCCGCTTACTCAGTTGGCTGCATGATGTTGATGGCGCCTGCTTGCACCTTCCGGCCGAGATACTTACTCTTCTGGAGCTACCCAAGAACAGAAACCTTGATTCCTTTTTTTTTGACAGTGTGTTCATTCAGTACTCTCGGTACTGAACATAGTGTTCCCCAAATCGTGGCTTGTGATGCAGCATCCGGGTGAAAAAGAGCCATTCAGAGTACACAGCTACTGGAAAACATCCCTCAAGGCAAGAGTGAAGGCAGAGGTGCTAGCGGCTGCTCACGGGACCCCGGGCTTGAATCCTAGCGTACTGGGGCCTCCCACTTTGTGACTCGAGCAGACCCAAACCCGGATGAGTTTGCTTTGTTAGGGTAGGGGAAGGAAAAAAAAATAAAATCGTGAGTTTTTGTCCTGCGAGGTGGCAATGACGGGAAAGCTGGCACAGCCGGCGGCAGTCGTGAAATGTGAAGCTATACTTCTGTCCACTGGGTTCACAATTTTTATTTTTTTTAAAGATTTTAGTTATTGGAGAGAGAGAGAAAGAACAGGAGCAGGGGGGAGGGGCAGAGGGAGATGGTGTAGACTCCTAGCCGAGCAGGGAGCCCGATGCGGGGCTCCACCCCAGGACCCCGGGATCAGGACCTGAGCCGAAGGCAGACGCTTAACCGACTCAGCCACCCAGGCGCCCCTGAGTTCAAAATCTAAAAAAAAAAAAATCTTTTAAAATTTCTCTTTCCCTTTTACCTTTTGTTTCTGTTGCATGCACCTTCCGGTCTTCACACTGCTTCCCAGCGTAAGCAGCGGATTCTAGCGTGGCAGGGCCAGCTGGGAGGTCTGCATGGTTTGACTAGCTCTGTGCTTTTGAATGTGTCACTTTACCTCTTCTTGCTTTTGCCTCATCCTGAAAGGGAGGGAATTGCGCCCCATCAGTGGTTTCCCTTGTGGGGTCCCTACATGATACTGGTTCTATGAAGTCCGTGATGGAGCTGCTTTCAGAACTCCCACCTGGTTAGTGGAAATCATTACTTAGAACAGGCTGCACCTGCTAGCCACAGTGTGCTTTGGTTTTGGTTTTTGGTTTTTTTACCCCCTTCGGTTTAGTTTTATCATCAAAGCTCATGCTAATCACATTAGCAGTTATAAATGGAAAGCTGTTTGGTAAACTTTTAGTAGGAAAAGTTCCAAAACATTGAATTCATCATGGAAAATTAATGGGTCCTTGGGAACCACTGGGTTAAATGATCTCTAAGGTCGCTGGTGCAACTGATGTGGCCTCCTGAGGCCTTTTAGACTTCAAGGATGGTGTTATAAACTATCATTAGTCTTTCTTCTAAGGACAGTGTTATAAACTATCATTATGGATTGTGCCTCTTTTTGGATACTCTAACAAAAATACTGTAGAACAAATTTGTAACATTGTAGACATTCATTTTGGAAATAAAAGCTAAACAATTGTATCCATATTTGAAGACCTTCTTACACCATTAAATAAAAAAAAATCAGATTTGTCTTTTTTTAAATTTTAATTCCAGTATGGTTAACATACAGTGTTAGTTTCAGGTGTACAATATAGTGATTTCAGAATTCTCTACATTACTCAGTGCTCATCAAGATAAGTGTACTATTAATCCCCTTCACCTCTTTCACCCATCCCCCACCTACCTCCCCTCTGGCAACCATCCATTTGTTCTCTAGTTAAGAGTCTGTTTTTCAGTTTGTCTCTTTTTTCCCCCCCTTGTTTTCTTAAATTCCACAGATGAATGAAATCACTCTGTCTTTCTCTGACTTAATTTCACTTAGCATTATACTCTCTAGCTCCATCCATGTTGTTGCAAATGACAGGATTTCATTCTTTTAGTAATATTCCATTGTATATACACCACATCTTTTTTACCCATTCATCTATCAATGGGCACTGGGGCTGTTTCCATAATTGGGCTATTGTAAATGATGCTGCTATACACGTAGGGGTGCATGTATCTTTTTGAATTAGTGTTTTCTTATTCTTCGGGTGAATACCCAGTAGTGCGATTACTGGATCATATGGTAATTCTATTTTTAACTTTTTGAGGAACCTCCATAGTGTTTTCCACAGTGACTGCACCAGTTTGCATTCCCACCAACAGTGCATGAGGGTTCCTTTTTCTCTACATCCTTTCTCTACATCCTTGCCAACATTTGTTTCTTATCTTCTCGATTTTAGCCATTCAGACCGGTGTGAGGTGATATCTCATTGTGGCTTTGATTTGCATTTCCCTGATGATGAGTGATGTTGAGCTTCTTTTCATGTGTCTTTTGGCCATCTTGATGTCTTCTTTGGAAAAATGTTCATGTCTTCTGCCCATTTTTAATTGGATTATTTGTTTTTTGGGTGTTGAGTTGTAGAAGTTCTTTATATGTTTTGGATATTAACTCTTTATCAAATATGTCATTTGCAAATATCTTCTCCCATTCTGTGGGTTGTCTTTTGGTTTTGATGACTGTTTCTTTTGCTGTCCTTTTCCTGAATATATTGTGAGCTTTCAGGAGACCTATCTAGAAAAATGTTGCTAGGGCCAACATCCGAGAAGTTACTGCCTGTGCTCTCTTCTAGGATCTTTATGGTTTCAGGTCTCACATTTAGGTCCTTAATCCATTTTGGGTTTATTTTTATGTATGGTGTAGGAAAGTGGTCCAGTTTCATTCTTCTGCATGTAGCTGACCAGTTTTCCCCAGCACCATTTATAAAAGAGACTGTCTTTTTCCCATTGCATATTCTTGCCTCCTTTGTCATAGATTAATTGACCATATGATCGTGGGCTTATTTCTAAGCTTTCTGTTCTGTTCCATTGATCTATGTGTCCAGATTTGTCATTTTTGAAGGCAAATGATCAAATGTTCAATCTTAACTAGTAATAAGAACAGTGCATATTAAGTGAGATTATTCACACCTATCAAGTAAAAAAGTATAAATTCTGTTAATACCAGGAGTGGGCGAGGAAGTGTCAATTAGTAAAACCACTTCAGAGAGCAGTTTATCAATACCTAGTGAAGTTTGAAGTACATATAACCTATAAGTTGGCACACTGCTTCTGGTTATGCATACTAGAGAAATGCTTCTACTCACAGAGACATGTTCAGGAATGCTGAGTGCAGCACTGTTTGTTGATGAAAAGTTGGAAGCACCTTGGATAGTCATCATTAGAGGAGTAGATAAATTTGATGATTTGGTATATCCAATGTACAGTTAAAATGAGTCCTTATGTTTATGTGATGATACTGTGAAAAAAGAATGTAAAATATACCTTATTTGTGTAAAAATTTAAAATGTATAAAGCAATACTGTACATTGTTTATCAATACATATATACAAGTTTCTTTGCATATGTATACATAAATATACCCATGTATTCATAATAGACACGTCTATGCATAATATGTGTAGGATCTGATGGCACGCATTTGATGTATGTGTATATGCCTGTCTGTGTACATATGGATCTGAGTGTTGGTGTCTGTGTAGATGGGTGCACATGTATTTGTGTATGTATGTTTGCATTTGGAACGTGAAGGATACTCCAGCCTCAGAGTAGTGTGTGCTCATCCCTGTGATGAGGAAGGGAGAATAGGCAGAAGGCTTTCAACTGGGTCTTTAATGTTTTGCATATTTAACCATTCATCAAAAATGGAAAGCGTTGGTGTTGAACCTGGGTGCCAGATATATGGGTTGACTTTTGTTCTCTGTATTTTTATGTATGTGTGAAGCATTTCATGTCTGTGAAAAACAATTCTGGATCAGCAGGGATCACATAGTTGGGGCCTGTATCACTGCCGTTTCTGGAAGCCTTAAACAGGCCTGGGAGTGGTACAGTAGCTGGGTTTTGCAATCTTCCAATGAGAACTACTTTTGGTAGTGTTCCCCTGGACAAAGTGCATTAGGATGACTGGAGGGTTTCTTGTCCTTTTTTTTTTTTTTTTATGATCAAATTCTTCATTGCTCTTTAGGTCAGCTGCAACTTGGAACCTCATCTGAGGGGCAATGTGTATGTTCAGTATCAATCGTAAGTATTCTGAACATAAACATCTTCACATTTTGTCTTGGTATAGTGTTGTAATTATGTTGCTGTCTGGGTTTTTCCCACTAAATAGACAGCTTTCATATGCATGGTATTTTTAAAAATGTAAATATTAAGAGCTGATACAGAAATATATAGAGAGGGGACTTGAAAACGCATTTGTATTTCATTCGCTGGATACTTAACGTAGTTTTGAATCTTTTACAATGGTTATTCTTTTTACTTACATAGTTTTAATAATTAAAATACAAACTGAAAAGGGGTAACTAGCATAGAGAAGAAATGGAAGCCCCGTGTAATCTCGGTGTGCTTTCCGCCCCCTAAGAGAGCAGTTGGTATAGCCTTTCTGCTTGTCCTCCTGTTTGTCTGGGACATGCTGTGGCTAATGGGTTAAATTATTGTAGTAAGAAAAATAGCAATCCTTGCTAAGAAAGGAGAGGCTCTGACAATGGGAAACACCTGTGCATTTTTAATGGTCCAGTCTTTCAGTTTAAGCTGCTTTGACTCAAGCTGATTTCCATGCATCAGAACCTCTGGGAGGGTTAGTAAAAAGCGTTCCTGAATATATTGTGAGCTTTCAGGAGCTTGAATGCCCTCATGAGGACTCCCTAGTACAAAAGCAGTGAACTTGGTGGTCCTACGGTAAACTAGTAAAAAGGTTCATTAACAGTAGGGGTCATCTGCATAATAGAAAGTTACTGTAAAAGGCATCCTTTAATTTGTGGCTTTTTTTAAAGGGAAGAAGAATGTCAAGCAGCCCTTTCCCTGTTTAATGGACGATGGTACGCAGGACGGCAGCTCCAGTGCGAATTCTGCCCAGTGACCCGATGGAAAATGGCAATTTGTGGTAAAATACAACACAATGATTTGACCCTAGTGGTTCCACTGTTGTGTAAAGGGACATTCTTAAGGGAAAAAACACTTTTTTTTTTTTTTTTAAGTTCAGTGCGGGGCTTGAACTCACGACTCCGAGATCGAGACCTGAGCTGAGATCAAGAGTCAGATGCTCAACCGGCTGAGCCACCCAGGCGCCCCCAAAACACAGTCTTTTAAAGGAGTAAAACATAGCTTTTGCCTCCTGAACTAGACGAGCAGAGATCGTTATATCAAGAAGCTCGCGTGTTAGATCAGTGCTAGACCTTACGGGTCACTTTATGGACGAGGTGACTGAAGTGACAGTGTATCAGTGACAGAGTTGGGGCTAGAGTTCCCATCTTCTCACTCTCATTACTGGGCTTTAAAACTTGAGGAAGCCTGAGGAGTCGTGTTTGTGGGAAGCCACCTTTTCCTTGTTGCATGGGCGGAAGTGATCTCTCCTCATTGGCTCCCCTCACTCAAGCTGGGTTCCCCCCCCCATCTTTATCCCTAATAAATTTTCTGTCATCCTTGCCACCTAAAACGTTATAACATTGCCTGCCTTGCTTGAAAGACATGCTTTCGTGCAGTGGAGACTGATTATAGCTGTAGGATCCGGTCAGGGCGCATTCAGTCAGACTGACTCATCAGACTGTGGCCGCCAAGTCAAGGAATGAGTCAGTCCTTTGAGTAGCCAGTAGTTTTGGAGGCCTCATTACTTTTTCATTTTTGTTGGATGGGCTTAGCCAAACTATTTATTGTTGAACGACTCTGGAAGCAAAGAGCTGGAACTGTCAATGCCTTAGGGGAGCACTTTGCTTACCCTTTACTTTTCTTGACTTTACACTTGCCTGCTTAACACCTCTTATTAAAAAAATATATAATTTACAAAGTCTTTATCTTTGGCAGCCTGGTCTTAATGGATGCTGGCAGTTAAAAAACCATTGATTCAAGGCGGGGGGGGGGGGGGGAAGAATTTAGAATTCCTTGCTTTGGAAAGCAGAAGAACCATTATGCCTGAAATTTGAAAGCTTGTGGGCTGAAAGAGATGGAACTGTTTTTTTCCCTGAAGGCAGTTATTTTTGTCAGTTCCTGGGAATCCAGTGTGTTTTCAGTGAGGTACTTCTGAGTGTGACATTGGCCTCCCCCAAAACAGGAGACTATTTTACCTGCTTGCTTGCTTATTTATTTGACAGAGACAGAGATAGCGAGAGCAGGAACACAAGCAAGGGGAGTGGGAGAGGGAGAAGCAGGCTTCCCGCGGAGCAGGGAGCCCGATGTGGGGCTCGATCCCAGGACCCTGGGATCATGACCTGAGCTGAAGGCAGACACTTAACAACTGAGCCACCCAGGCACCCCAGTGCTTTTTTTTTTTTTTTTAAATAACAGCTTTGTTATTTTCCGAAGTAACTAATGATGTTGAGCATTTTTTGTGTGTCCTCATTATTGGCCATTTGTAAATCTTCCTTGGAGAGATGTCTAGATACTTTGCCCATTGTTAATTAGGTTGTCTTTTTATTATTGGGTTGTAAGAGTGCTTGATCCGTTCTACAGACAAGCCTCTTATTGCAGACGTGATTGGCTAATATTTTCTCCCATTCTGTGGGTTGTCTGTTCACTTTGATGATGTCCTGTGAAGTACAAAAGTTTATAATTTTGATGAAATCCATTTTATCTATCTATGTCTATCTATATTTTTTTGTTTGTACTTTTGGTGTCATACCTAAGAATCCATTGCTCAGCCCAGTGTCACAAAGATTTTACTTGTATGTCTTCCTCAGACAGTTGTATGGTTTCATGTCTTACATTTAGGACTCTGATCGATTTTGGCTTTTCGTATATAATATGTGGTAGGGAGGGATTTCACTTTTAACTGTTTTACATATCTGGGGAATTTACGGACTTAAAAAAGTTTGAAAACCTCAAAAGGATCTCTTAAGTTGTTCAGATAGATTTCACCTGTGACAAGAATCTTCCATATTAAAAGCATTTGGTAAATTTAAAAGCGTTAGGCCAATGTTTCCCCTCTTCTTTTTTTTTTTTTTTTAAAGATTTTATTTATTTGACAGAGAGAGACACAGCGAGAGGGAACACAAGCAGGGGGAGTGGGAGAGGGGGAAGCAGGCTTCCCGCTGAGCAGGGAGCCTGGTGCGGGGCTCGATCCCAGGACCCTGGGATCGTGACCTGAGCCGAAGGCAGACGCTTAACGACGGAGCCACCCAGGCTCCCCTCTTCTTCTTAAAGTATAAAGAAAATACTAAGCCGTCCACTTCTCAGAGGCTCTCTTTGGGCCAGTAGCCCTGTCCTGCCACCAGCATGCTGTCAGAGCGCCCTGTCACAGGGCCTCCCAAGGGCTGGGTGTTCAGTGTTAATTAGGGATCGACACCGTCCATCGGTGGGACGGTGAAACCCTAAAAAACAAAACAAAACACAAAACCCCGGTGTGGTCACCGTTTGTTCAGTTGCACCCCGCACCCTCATCCCGTCGGAGACCAGGGTATCGGCGTAATGAAAACTTCTGGTTTCGTTACCGCTCACAGTGCCGTTTGTTAGAGTGTTTGCGATTGTTTTGAAATTCTGGGAACCAGAGCTATGAGATCACTTTACATAGGCCGCTTTGAGATAATGCGCAGGAGGAGATAGGCCTGTCACGTCTGAACATCAGCGGTGTGCCTTCTGAAAAGGGTAAAGCGCTAGCAGTAAATGCTGTTTCCTCACTGTGCCCTTGCAGGTTTGTTTGAAATACAGCAGTGCCCACGAGGAAAACACTGCAACTTCCTGCATGTGTTCCGAAATCCCAACAATGAGTTTTGGGAGGCTAACAGAGACATCTACCTGTCTCCCGATCGGACCGGCCCCTCCTTCGGTAAGGGCTCGGAGAGGAGAGACAGGACGGGCCACCACGAGGAGTACTATGGGAGGCCCAGGAGGAGACGGAGCCCTAGCCCATCGCACTCCTACAAGAGGAACGGGGAAGCAGAGAGGAAAAGGAGAAGCAGGCGCCGGGGCCAGAAGTCTCACAAACACATGGCAAGGAGTCGCGAGAGGCACGTTTCACGGAGTAGAGCAAGGAAAAGGGCCCGCAGCCGGGGCCGGGGCAGCGGGAGCCAGAGCTCCTCTAGGTCCAGGAGCCGTGGCAGGAGGAGGTCAGGCAGCAGAGACAGAATTCTTCAGAGTCCCAAATGCAAATAAACATACTTTGTTCTTACATGATTGTAGATCTTCTTTATGAGGGCTGCTTCATACTGGGGCCTAGGGGGCTCTGAGCTCGATGGCTGAGCAAGGCTGGCAGAACCCTATTTAAAAAGGCCTTTATGCTCTGATAAGCAGTGTGTTTAGTATAGAAAACCTAGAAGAACCTACAGTGTACAGATAGCCTGGAAATCACCTGTAATCCTAACCCTTAGTGAGAACGTTAACATGGGAGCAGTGCTTACGCCTTCTTTTCCTCTTCTGCGTCTGCACACATGGTTTTTTTTTTTTTTTTCACAGTAAGATCATATATGGCTGCAGTTGAAAATGTTTTTTTCTCCACCAAACCTCCTATTTCATCAAGCCTCTTCTTTTTCTCACTGCCCAGCGTGGACCTATCCCTTTATTCAACCATACCCCTATTGTTGGATTTTAAATTACCTTTAATTTTGCACTATTAAAGAATCTAGTGCTATAAACAGTCCTGTTGTGGATTTCCTTAAATACTTTCACATATTTTTGACCGTTTCCTTACGATAAATTATGTTACATCAAGAGCTAGGACTCCTGAAGCGTTTCCAAATTGCCCTCCAGAAAGGCTACAACAATAAGTTTTGCTGTTCTCACACCACCAAGTTCATCTTTGCCGATTTGGTAAATTTTATGTTTAACTGTTTTGTTTCTCTATGTATTGGCTCAGCCACTTTTTCTGTATTTAATAACTGTTAAATTTGGTTGTTTGCCCTTTATTAATTATCTCTTGGGTTTTTCTACATGCAATAGCTGAGCAGCTTTTTGACTTTAAAATTCCTTTTGTTTTAAAGTACTTAAAGGGTAAAGTCCGTTTATTTCCTCTCCCTCCTGTCCCGTATTCACAGCCCCTTCTCAGCTGGAAGTTCTCCATGAGGGGCTGCATCTTTTTTATAGTGTGTTGGGGAGCTGTTGAGATAGAGGTAAGTCTTATTTCTGTAATCTTTAGGAAAATGAGGGTCATTGCTACTGAATCTGCCTGGTGTTAAAGCAATTCTCATTTAAAAAGTGGTCAGAGAACCTTCTGTTTAAAAAAAAAGCTTAAGGCAAAAAATACCATTCTTCGATTTCAGATCATAAAAAAGAAAAGATGCTCTTATACTTACTTACACGTTTTTAATTTTCTTCGTAAACTTTCCATTGCCATACTGGACATCTTGAATTTCAGAGTATGTGGCTTTTGGCAACTTGGGATTTGGAAATAAGGGCTTAAGGATGCACAAAGTATTGAAGCTAACAGAAAGGGAAAGAAATTTCAAGATTGGGATTTCTGAGTAAGGTTATGTGTTGAAAGTGAGAGTTCTTAATATGTAGCCTATAAAAGTACTATTAGTATGGTCCAGAAATCATTTTACTTTAAAAATTGATTTGTTCAATTTTAAATGCCTGCTTTACCCTAAAAATGATTGAAAATTTTCTGTAATTACCTACTGGATTCACTAATGCTGAGTAACGATCACTAAATCCAGTATTTTTCAGTACTTCCCTAAATACGGCCAAGATATGCATAATTAAAGGTGGTATCCCGAGCTGAATAGCCTTCATAGATCATGGAGGACAAAATAGGATAAACACCAGCTTGTGCTCAAGGTAATTATGAGATGATGGGGTCTTTCTCTCCAGTGTTCATGGGCACTGCAGTGTGGAGGGAGGGAGAGAGCAGTTTTCAGCCAGTGGACTGGTCCATTATCCTGATAAATGTCCATCTTGAACTTAAATGTATTACTGTTTCTTAAACTTATAACCTGATTACTATTTATGATTTAAACATTCCAGCTCTACAGTGCCAGCAGAAGCCCATCAGGCCTGTTTTCAGTGAATAAACCAGATGAGTGTTGGAGACGCTCCATGTCTGCAAGTATCTTTTTAGCAGACTAGAAACTTGATGGTAGTTGATGCCTTGTTCTTTAATATCCTTGCTTTACTATGTAATATTTCCCATCTGCAGTTAGTAGGAGGTCCCTTAACTATCATAACCAAAGCTTTGAGTTGCTGCTTCTATTAGGTGGCAGTTTGTAAATACCAGTTCATTTTGGCGAGCGTACTAGCACCTCCAGTGGTGGTGGTGGGGGGGGGGTGCTGGGGGTTGGGGATCTGGTTGATTTGGAATACCTTTGATTACCTGGAGTAACGAGAGTTGCTCATTCAGAAAGTAGAAACGTCAACTGCATCAAGGTTTTAAAAGCGGCATTTATTGATTGAAAATAAATGTGTAGATGAGCTCTCAGCGTGGAAGCCACATTATTTTTTAGTGAGCTTTAAATTTAAGTACATGAAAACTTATATCTTCCATCATTTGTCTTGTGTGTGCTTTTAGCATCCACCTTCAAATGGAGGTGAATTTTCGACATTTTACTGAGAAAAATTTAAAATTCTTTCAGCAGCTCCCCATAGTTTGACAAAGTTTTGCAAAGAGAAAGATAAAAACAGACTACAGTGGTGTATGTTGAACATTTATTACAACTAATTGGTGATGTGATAAAGACAGTGCTAACACGGCCTGAATATGTATTGGTCACAATCACAACAAAGCTTAATCCAGCCCAGCAGATACAAATGAAAGTATAAACCACGAAGACATGTTTACATATACAGAAGTATGTATAAAAGTGACACTGAAACAACTGTATAGCTTTAAAAAAACACAGGGCCCACTAATGTCATTTTACCTCATTCAACTCTGTTTTACATGAAACGTGCTGTCTGTCTGCTTTTGTAAGATTTCTGATAACTAGGCATTGCCATGGAAGGGAAGGAAGCTGCCCTAAAGTTTGCAGCACTTGTTAAGTGGAGGGAAGCAAAAGAAACTTGGCCGTTAACAAGCACCCCAGGAGGAGCATTCGTGCTTTAAACAATGACTTAAGCAACATTTTGTGAAGAGAAGAACACATTTTTCTGTAAGGTAATGTTGTGAAGAGTTCCGGTAAGTCAATGTATCCATTTTTATTTGGGGGCATCAAAAACCATCCAAGTCACTAACTGGTTATGACCACAAAAAAAATTTGTCTCAGGAGTTGAATGTTCCTTGGCCTTAAAAGCAAACGTGCTCACTATTAAACAGTCGATCTCTGTTCCTCAACCCCGGCTTGGAAAGCCGGAGAAATAATTTTTAGTGTAAAACACATCATTTCAATTTAGTCATTTGTGTATTCCCTTTAATGTAGTTTCCAATAAGGAATAAATAATGGTATAAATTTTGTTCCTTTTTTTTTTTTTAAGTCTTGAACAGTTAAATTTTAATTCATTTGGTATGTATCAATTCCCTTTATTCTCATATATGCTGAAATGCTACACACTAGTCTTTGGTTTCATAAAACCAGGTTTCATATTATAATTTAAGTGTCCTTTGCCAAAGATGGTAATTAATGAACGTATATTGCCTGATTGTGTCATTCTAATAGATACATGATTAGATTGAGAGAAACAGATCTGTAAACTTTAAAATACCCAGAAATGGTACCTTTCTTTTCCTGCATCACTCTAATTCGTATTTAAGTCCCTTATCACTTGATTAACCGAAGTTCCCTTTAAAAAAAAATTTTGTGTAGGCCTGAATGAAGCAGCTTAGCAAAATAGTAATACTGACAAGACGTCATCTTATACCATTAGCTAACATGGACATGAAGGCAGTGGCCATCTACAGTGTGACCACAAGAAGTCATCAACAAGGGAGGAGAGTTATGTCAGTCCAATTTCTTCAAGGACACTACGTGGGGTTTCAGCTTCCTGTGGAGGGAAAATGTGAGACTCTGGTAAGCAGATGCGGGGAGGCTAGAGAATGTGAAATTGACACGGAAGGATGTGCAAGTTTCACAGAACAGTGCAAGCAAGTCATTGGTTTGGGCACATTCGAATACCGAGAGCAGGCAGTTATTTAGGGTTTTGCGCCCCAAACGTCAGAGACCACAGAAGGATATTTTGAGCATGCATCAAATACCTACTGATTACCTGCCAATGTGCTGGGCCCCGCTACTGCCACACAAGAAGCAGGCAAACCCACTGGCAATTTAGGAAATCATTGCTATCGAATTAGCTACAGGAAAGGTAAGTTACCTTAGTGTTAAAATCGAAAGCCTCCCCGAAATAAAAAGCAGGGAAAACCCAGAGTTCTCCCGAATCTTCACATAATTTTGTTTTCCATGCTTTTGTTTTTTATCATTTGGGTCACATGTATTTATAGAAATGTCTTCCTCTGGGTCTCGACTCAGTTTTTGACTTTAACTGTCCCCAGCAGCACGGCTTCAGAAACTCACCTTCCCAGCCCTCCCCTGGGCGACCGGTGGCTTCAGGGGAGGCAACATAACAGAAAGAATAGTCTAGGACCAAAGGCATTTTTTGGCTTATGCCACAACCAGTACTCATTTTTAAATGTCAAAGGCAGACAAAAAAAGCAGGCATAGCTAGAAAAAAATTATTAAAAATTTTCCAAAGTGGGGCACCTGGGTGGCTCAGTTGGTTCAGCGACTGCCTTCGGCTCAGGTCATGATCCCGGAGTCCCGGGATCGAGTCCCGCATAGGGCTCCCTGCTCGGCGGGGAGTCTGCTTCTCCCTCTGACCCTCCCCCCCTCTCATGTGCTCTGTCTCTCATTCTCTCTCTCTCAAATAAATAAATAAAATCTTTTAAAAAAAAAAAATTTTTTTTTCCAAAGTGGCTGATTGTGCATATCACAAAACAGGACCAGGTCAAATTCAGGTATTACTTGCAACAATTTTGTAATTAAAAGGCATTCGACAATTTAATGGAGAAAATGCAGTTTTTAGCATCCAATAATAAATAACTTACTTTTGCATCCTAATTGTGGTACAGCACAAAACAAGGAAAAGAAAAATATTAAACCATAAATCCATACATTAGATTTAATTGTATATAAGCATTACATGGAGTAATCTTAAGTAAATTAAACTCTAGCCTGTTTCCTGATTTGGAAAACAAGGATCACAGTACTTACCTTCATACATAGACATTTAAGGGAGAGAAGGCTTAGTGCCAGACTTCTAGAGAAGTGCTCAAAAAATGTTAACTGGTAGCATTACACGATTGAGACCTACCTACAAGAAGGTATTTAGCATTCAGTACTAAATAAAATATTATAAACCAACTCTGTATAAAGTTCACATGATGATCTTTTAGTAGGTTTATTAACGAAAAATGGGTAAAAATCGGCTTTGGTAGGAAAAAAAAAGGGTTTTTATGAAGTATTCTTGCCCTTGCCCCCGACATCAAACCTCACCCTAACCAGGCTACATCAAAATATATATAGGGGATAGGAAAACAAGTTAAACATTGCCACAAGATTACAATCCACCAAATACAGAATGGAAGATATTCTACAGCATGGGTGACTCGGTTAAAACAAAACAAAACAAAAATGGCAGGGGAGAAAAGCAGAGGAGTTGTTAAAGATGAAAAGACTTAAGAGACATCAACCAGATACAATGTGAGCCTTAGTGGGCATCTGGTTCTAACAAACCAATTACAGAAATGCAATTTTCAGGCAATTAGGAAAAACTGAATCAGGAACAAGATGTTAAGAGTTACTGTTAATTTGGGGGGTGTGTGGTTACTTCTGTCTCTTGGTGATGCATACTGAAGTATAGAAGATGAAATGATGTCCAGGGCTTGCTTTTAAAATGCTGAGGCCAAAATGGAGGGGGTGGTGGGAAACAGATGATGCAACAAGCATATGACTATAGGTATTGAGTTGAGGGGTGTTGAAGCTGAATGATGTGCACATGAAGGTTCCTTCTGTTTTATTTGCATGTCTCAGAGTTTTCGTGATAGTTTTTAAAGAAAGTCTAATGGAAAAGATGCAGCACTCCCAAGAATGATGTAAACCAGACTCTTTGATTTATGTTTAGCTTTAAACACTAAATATATGGACATCTGAATCACATACATCCTAAATAAAGGAAATGATTTAAAAATAATCATTTGCATTTAACCCTTGAACAACACGGATATGAACTGTACAGGTCCATTTTATACGGAGGCTTTTTACCATACAGTACTGTAAGTGTATTTTCCTTAACATTTTTTCTCCAGCTTACTTTACTGTAGGAATACAGTATATAATACATACACAAAAGAGGTGTTAATGGAATGTTGAGGTTATTGGTAAGGTTTCCAGTCAGCAGTTGGCTATTAAGTTTGTGGGGAGTCAAACGTTATATATGTGGGTTTTCAACTGCCTGGGAGAGTCAGTGCTCCTAACCCCCCCTCATTGTTCATAGGTCAACTGTAATGTTAGATAGTTTTTAAAAACACCATACAACCTTTAATGCATTTATTAAAAGATGCCTACATTGAATTCTATACAGCTAACATTCTTCCCTTATCCATGTAAAAATGGCTCTCATTCTATTCCCTGGAACTGGTCAGATTTCCCCTGTGTGCTTACTGCCTGCAGTCCTGTATCGCATTTCATGAAGAGAACCATGTTACTTATCAAATATGCATTATTTAAAATATGTGTCCTTTCTTAAAGGAATCATTTATACGTTTTACTCCTTGAGACTTGTACAAATAGTACATTAGTTTCTTTTACAAATTGTGTCCATAGTATAAAATGTAATTTTCCCATGTTGACACTGAAACTGTAGCTCAAAATTACCTAGAAGGACTGGTAGCTAAAGTAGTCACATTCCTAGAAACAAAGTAGAATGGTGGTTACCAAGGGCTGAGGGGAAGGGAAATGGAGAGTTGTTTAATGGATACAGTTTCGGTTTCACAGGAGGAAACATTTCTGGACGTCAGTTGCACAACACTGTGAACATACTTAACAGTACTGAACTGTAAACTTAACAGAATTTGCCAGCTTAACCACTTTTGGGTTTTTTTACACGATTTAATAAAATTACCTGGAAAAACCAAGATATAAAATATATTATTTGTCAAAAGGGATGGAGAAGAAAAAAGTCATTCACATGAGACAAAGTACATGCAATACTTTTATTTTAGACGTGCAAGAAAAGCGGTTTCAGAATCTATGAATTGAAAGCAAGCAGCTGTATACAAATAACAAAAGAAGCAACATCTTGTTACAGCTCAGCACACAGCATCCAAAGCAAACCGGCAGAAGACAATGCATGTTCAGCATTAAAACCAGACGAATCACATCTTGCAGGGTGGGAGGAGGGACAGAGGGAAAAAAATGGAAATGGAAGACCAATGTTCCCAATGCTTTCAATGTATGCTGCTAAGTTTCTCATTTGATAGCCCATCCAGGTGCTTCAAAAGTAAAGCAGGACATAGAGAATCCTGGAACAGGCCGCTCTGTATACCCGCCTAATCGACATTTTCACGGGTCGTCTTTCAGTGGTAAACCTGTTTGAGCGTCTTCTGAATTTGTTTACTGGTAACTTACTTAGTAGGCTTTAAACTCTCTAGATAGGAACAATGAATTATTTGGTACTTTTATAATAAGATAAGTTGCATATTTTATTAAAAGTATACACAACGACCAATATTAAAAGTCTTAACATAAAACCAGAGTTAACAAATCATTAAATATTTAAATGAAGACAATATATACTATAAAAGCATAACTAGTAAAATATTAGTATTTAAACTGAGTATTAGAATTTTCCTATTGAACAAGATACTGCAGCAGAGACTTCTGACACAGCTTTCTGATCATTCGTCAAGGGACTGTTCAGGACTGTCCGGCGTAAATGTGACTGAATGGAGGTGCATCACGAACTTAAGAACTGTGAATGTTTTACCCTTAAATACCACGTGAAGTACAGATTTTACTTTCTGGAATTATTTCCAAATACACTTTTATGGGATACATTAGAATACGTTAGCTCATATAGGCTGTCATACAGTCACACGAAATAGAATTTCTTTTGAAGACCAAGCCACGCTATATAGGTTACTGCACTGCTTATTTTGCCATAGCGTTTCCACTATATTTTCTTTGGTGAACCATTTTAATGATGGCTAGATTTTCCTCTTTCAAGATTTTAATCATAGATGGTTCGTAGATGATGACGTGTATGTGTTTAAGATGAAATACTACTCAAAACAAACATTCATAGGTCATATCTCAAGTAGAAATTAAACCAGTTGCGAGCAGGACTAAACTACATCAAGATCACATATAGAACGAAAATAAAACAGAAAAAGAAAAATGAGGACAGGAAAAACAATTACAATTGAAAGGTATTAGTTCTGAAATGCTCTATTATACAAGATAGTCACCAAGCTGAGGATATTTTCTTTCATAAGTATATCAGCTCTCTATTTCCTCTGTGAAATTCTGCATACACGATGAGTAGTCATTTAGTACACAGGGACATTAAAATATTCATGACGTGGCTACAAAAGAAATGCATACATTCTTACACAGTATACAAACTGACAGACACAATCAGATTTCTAGAATGTTTAGTGCACAGTAAAGAAAAGGAAACTTAAATTTTTGTTTTTGTTCTTTGGTTTATGTCTGAACATTTAACTTCTAAACAGTGCTTAGGAGTTCCGATTCCATTTCTTTTAGTAACTTTATATAATGATAAATCAAAATGACCTATATCCTACAAAATCCAAAAGCACTGTTACTAACAGGCTGAAAAGATTTCCAGTGTAAAATCGTCTGGTCAATACTGAGTTAACTGAAAATTCTATTAGAATACTACCTCCCGCCAGCCTTCAAGTATATCAGGATTTTATTACACAAAGTAAAGGAATTTAATCCCTTAATGAAAATCATTACATCCTTTGGTGACCATAAACTCTTCTACAGATCCTAAAGGAAAATCTCTGCCAAGAAAGAGTGGAAAAGTAGTCACCCATTTGGTATTTTAAGTAGCAATGGAGGTCTTTAATGGTTCACTTAGCTTGAAAAAAATTCCAAAGACTATGCCTTTGAGACTAAGGATATTATTTTTTAAAATAATCCTCAAGATAGATTTTAAAGAACTCTCCAAAAAGATTTGTTAGATGTCTATGCCTACACATGTATGTAAATAGAGATTTCTCATATCAACGAGGTAACCTGAGGTGAGGTTTTAAACTGACCCGAGAGTGTCCAGAGATGGATTTCTAGGGACTCGAAGAATCCCCTAGAGGCAAAATTACATACAGATTTTCCTGAGAAGAGGGCCCATGGCTCTTCGGACTCTCAAAGGGATTATACCCCTGCCAAAAGGCTTGTGACTCAAAGTTTAAAACTGCTCATTTGAGGGCTTGTAAAATATCCTCACTTTAACACTAAAGTTGGCATTTTGAAATGTTAGGCTACAAAGTCATGTAAACTGTTCAAATATGTAACAGATCCCTTATACAATAACCATTGAATACAAAAGTATCTGAGAAGCGCCAGTTAAATTTTAATCCTCAGATAATTCTTAAAACAGTTTAAAAAGAGATAGTTTTGCCTTTTTCCCCCCACTCAGAATACAGTGGCATGAACCAGCAAGTTAAAATAATACTAGTAAGAAACCCAAATGCTTCACTTTCTTAGAGAAGCTCTCATTTTCATAGGGGAATCCTATTTATCTATTTCTGTACCAATGACATCAGTACTTCACAGTATTTAATAATGCTTTTTTGTCAATGAACCTCTGAACCTATTTCAGTATTCTCTGTGTAAAAAAATAAATTGTAAGTCCCAATGATGGATCATTATCAGAGTAAAATTCCCTATGAAAAGATCAGTTAAAGGAAGTACTGGGACTATCCCTTGGGATTTAATGTAATTAAACTTTTCAGGTAATGCTAAAATATAAATAACAAACTTGACAAAATTATAAGTACAAACTGAATTCATAGATCCTACTACATTTTGATGCATGTCAGTACTCCAGCACGTATTCTAGTACGCTTTCTTACACCCAATGAAACTCTTGCTGTGATACATAGTCTCTGTTTTCTGGGGAGAGAACAAGAAAAGTTTAAGTCTGTCAACCTTTCACCTACATACCAGTTCTTTGAGACTTTATAAAATTATAGCTTTTCATCTTTTTTGTTTTCTCTCTTAATTTTATACACACTATGGGAAAACCAACCATGGAGAGCTTATGCCCACTGAAAGAAAAGAGAAAGGTAGTTTCCCCAAATAGGGCTGAGCACACGGCTGTTCCTCCCCAGAAGAGACTTACTAGGAAAGGCAACAAACAATTCTTAAACCAAGACTGCCCAGCATTTCTGACAGACCTTTTACTACATTAGTAAAGGAAAGGGTAGATGATAAGCCAAACTATTCTTTATAGCTAATGATCCATATTAGTATACTTAAACAAGAAATTAGCATCCATCAATTGTGAAGAATATTCTTCATAGGGAGAAAACCTCTTCGTTGGAAAAACACCCTTTAAGAAGAAAAACCCTAAAATGCACAAAAATAATGTATTCTTTTACCACTCTTAAGTTGCTATAACATGTTTTCTTCAATAATTTCTCAGTTTAGACAGCGTCTGAAAAAGTTGTGCTAAAAATGCCTTAATGACCAACTAACCTTTAAGGTTGATTTTAAGCTAAATGATACAGGTATGCCCGTATTAACCAAGTTATATCTTCTCTTATATACAAAGGAAATATTATAGAAGATTGAATATAACTCCAGTATTCTGGGCCCTCACACCACCAGGACATCTTCTGAGTCACGGAATAATTAAGAACTGGGGAGGGTGAGAGTCAAGTCTGTCGCAACACACAAGGGGTCCTGGGAAGAACCAGAACTACTCTTCTTCCACTACCCAGCAAGCTGAGTTCCTCAATACACTAAAACATCAGTGATTTAGATTACATGGAAATAAAGGCCAGAATGAAAACAAAAAAAAATTTAATCCAGTTGTATTACACAAATACAAACTACAAATTGCCCTTAGTATCAATTCTTTGGAGACCTATTTTTTGAACCAAGATTTTAGACGTTATTTTCAACCTGAGATGGGCCTGCAATCCTGGGCAATCCTTCTACTCATCATTTGCTCCCCACCAGTAAGTCTATTCCAAACCCTCAGCACTTTCCTCAAATCATCTATCTCTTCTCTTTCTCCTCAGTCCCCAGCAACTCTCCTCTACATGATAAGTTTCTCAAAGCTAAGAAAAGGACAACTTTCTGAATTTCGCTCATCCAACTGATGAGGAAAAAACAAACTACAGCTTTACCCAGTTATCTCCTCCTAACAGGAGGAAGATTCGTCTTGCCTAAGACCAGTGCTTTTCATTCCATTCCCATTCACCCTGCCAATATAGTTTCCCCTTTATTCTATTCCTCTTTTTCACTGCTCTCTGCGTTCGCTCCTTTTCCTTGGTACACACGCATGTATGTTCAACTTCCCTCCACACCAAGAGGAACTTTTCTCTCAGTCCCCTACAAAAGGAACCAGAGGTAGTGGGAAGTGCAGGTTAACGAACAGCAGAAAGAGGAATTAAGTTACACCTGCTCTTAAAACTGTTTACGTTCTTAAGACAAACCCCATTACCTTCAAAATTCCCAGATATTCACCATATTAGGCTGATGACTCAAAACAGTCTGGGAAACTATATAAAGAAACTGGCAGCTAGCACTTATTTGAAGGCTTAAGTCTTGCTGAGATCAGTGCTTAAGTAAACTACTGGTATTAGATCCAAAACTGAAAACCTAGTCTCCTGATTTTCTCTTTCTAGCACACAATGTATTCGAAGAGCAAATAATTTACATTTAATGAAAAAGAAATTAAGTGTAATTTGAAGTTACTGCTCTACTCATTTTTCTTGTGAAGGGGCTTCACTTATTCCTTGTACTAGAAGTATCCTCTATCCTTCATGTTCTAGAATACAATCGTCCTTTTTATTGCCCCTCACTCAATTCTGTGGCAAAGTCCCTACTCGACTCTGAAACTATTCCTTGTGCTTAAAGACCAAAGGGCCAGAGAATGTCCAAAATTCACTAAGATCTATGTTTAGCAATGAATAAAAAGAGGATGGAAAGCCCTTGTAAGGCACCTTTTAGATGACACAGCTCATGGCGTCAGTCTGATTCCACCAGCAATCGCGAGGCACTAGTATAGTCAAATAGTCAAATGATTTTTTTTTTTTTAATTAGCAATGAGTGGCCAGAGCAATATGGTTGTTCCAGATGGCTAGTGTCTAAAATGGCCAAGAGCACACAAGTGCTTCACTTTACATGTTGGAACTTTTCTTTTTAGCAAATTCTACTTTAATTTTACCTAATGGAACAGCACAATGTGTACTCTTCCATTCACACAGTTTCATTTTGTCATTTAAAAAATTTATAAATTAAAATTGTATACTTCTAATACAGGTTTGTTTTACACTTCTAGAAAAGCGGGGGGGGGAGGGACCTCAAACATTTTCAAGAGGTAATGCCGGTAAGTTAATGTCCCACTCCTAGATCTTTTCTCACTTGATATACCTTGAATATCTTTCCTATCATTGCATAGAAATCAATCTCATTTCTTTTACAGACAGGTAACAGTTTCATGTATGGCTGTACTGTAATTTTCTTAACCTATTTCCCACTGATTAACATTTGGGTAAGTTCCAGTGGCTTAATATGATACTGAATCTTAGTGCATTTGTATATTTCTATTGGATACAATTCCTTGAAAATTTAACTGATGGGTCAAAAGTGTACAAATTTAACTGTTAACAGGTATCACCAAACTAATCCTCCAAAATGGAATACAAGTTTAAGTGCTCACAAGCAGCAGACAAGAGGGTCGCTCATCCTTGCCAATCCAAGAACAAACCAAAGAAAGTTCTCATTCATATTTTCATTTACGTTCCCTTATGTAAAAGGGCCATTTGTTTTTCTTTCATCTGTGAATTATTTATATCTACTGCTGTCTTTTTCTATTGTGCTGTTGATCTGTTTCTATTACATATCTCAAAAGTTTCTTAAAAATGATGGGAATAACAACTACATCTTGTACACCCTACTCTAAAACCTATTAGTTATAAAATACTAAGAACAGATAGATCACTTTCTCTAGCAGTTAATTGTACTTTTTAAATTTAAAAAAGCAGATTAATTAGTAAATATAACTTCAGACTGTAAGGAAATCATTTTAAGCATATTTTAGGGTAACTGTATTGTATCTGCCTAGGTCTTCCATTTGGATCATAATGTGAAATGCTTTAAATTTGATCAGGGTTTTCAAAATGTAACATTTTATCACTGAATTTCAAATATTCAAACTCTAGATCTGTACTAAGTAAATTCTTTAAGGCTAATAAGGTACAAAAGAACAACAACAACAAAGTCTATATGTACAATAATAAAAGTCTATATATGCCAATTCTGGTCATTTAAACTAGTTCCCCTCTAAAAAAAATTATCAACTCCCTAAGGTGGATGGGGAAATCAGAAAATTTAAAAAATATTCTAATTGCCTACAGGGTATACTCAATTCTGTTTCCAGGTAAAAACTCAGTTTCCTTAACAGACATTAACTGATTTGGTTGTTGTTGAGGAAATGAAAATTATATAGTGACATCCCACAAGCTTTGCAGTGGGTTAGGTGCTAAAGTCAACCACAGATTATCTCCCCAGACACTGGTTATCAAGGTGACTCTGTTGACTCAGAGGTGATTTTTATAGCCATTTACATGGTCTTATTAAGCACATCTGTCCTTCTTTTACAGTTTTGATTTTATTTATTTATTCATGAGAGAGAGAGAGAGAGGGGCAGAGGGAGAAGCAGGCTCCCAAGGAGCAGGGAGCGGGACACGATCCCAGGACTCTGGGATCATGACCTGAGCCGAAGGCAGACGCTTAGCCATCTGAGCCACCCAGATGCCCCTCTTTTACAGTTCTTAAGGGTTTTTTCGCCCTCCTACTTTTGATTCATTTCAACCAATATACTCTGGACTCTATATTATATTGAAAAGATGTAGCAGTCTATAAATGTAAATGGAATCTATATCCTACTGTGTTAAATTAAACCAGGGTTTTGCAACCACAGCACGACTGATACTGGAGGCTGGATAATTCCTTGTTCTAGGGGGGTCTGTCTGGGGCACTGCTGGATGTTTAGCAGCATCCTTGGTCTTCACCTACCAGATGCCAGTAGCACCCCATTGCCAGTCGTCACAATCGAAAATATGTGCAGGCATTGTTCAATGCTCCGTAAGGAGGCCTAACTGCCCCACTCCCCACCTCAGTTGAGAACCACGGAGTTCATCTAATTGTCTCTGGTTGATGGGTAGGTAAAATTACGTTCTAGTGTGCTTGCCTGTATTTGTTAATTTTTCTATAATAGGAACTTTTATTTTTTAAAAAGGCAACAGACGAAACCATAAGAAAATTTTAAAGAATGTGTCAGTAGGGGAAAAAAGAGCTAAAACCCTGAAATTTTTCAGAAAGTACTTTTTAAAGAAAAAAAATCACCACCAACAGCTAGGAATAGGCTCTTTGCAGGTCCCAATCCTAGGGTGCATGCAATCCATTTAGTAGATCAGGATCAGCATTGAGAAAAAGGACAGTGGGGCGCCTGGGTGGCTCAGTCGTTAGGCGTCTGTCTTCAGCTCAGGTCATGATCCTGGGGTCCTGGGATTGAGCCCCACGTTGGGCTCCCTGCTCTGCAGGAGGCCTGCTTCTCCCTCTCCCACTCCCCCTGCTTGTGTTCCTGCTCTCGCTATGTCTCTCTCTGTCAAATAAATAAATAAAAATCTTAAAAAAAAAATTAAAAAAAAGAAAAAAAAAAGGATAGAACAGAAAACGTGATATAGCAAAACAAGAAATAAAGTATTACTTAACAAAATACTTTTTTCAGTTTATGTGCATGTAACTATTAGGATATAAAAATGTATTTTATTACTGTGGGTTCTTGTCAAATATCTTTGAAAATCAGATTTACAGCTACTGATTTTAAGTTACTCCAACTTTTCATTATTGCAAATAGCCCAGAGTAGCAAAAGTGGGCTCAAAATGAGTTAAAGTGAAATAAGGAGGGGGGATCCTCGAAATTCTGAAAAGCAAAGAGCTCAAAAAACACACATACAGCAAAGACTGTTGAATCTCAGATCTGTACCTCTGAAACAAATAATGCAATATATGTTAAGAAAAAAAAAAAAGAAGAAGAAGGTAGCGGGAGGGGAAGAATGAAGCGGGGGAAATCGGAGGGGTAGACGAACCATGAGAGACGATGGACTCTGAAAAACAAACAGGGTTCTAGAGGGGAGGGGAGGGGTTAGCCTGGTGGTGGGTATTAAAGAGGGCACGTTCAGCATGGAGCACTGGGTGTTATGCACAAACAATGAATCATGGAACACTTCATCTAAAACTAATGATGTAATGTATGGGGATTAACATAAGAATAAAAAAAAAAACCACACATACAGCAAAATGATTACAACCTGAAAACCAGTGCCCAAGGACTTGGCCAAATTTCTTATAAAACGTAAACAAAAGGCAAGATTTGTTCTGCCTTCTGTTTTTTCTGTATCTGCCCTTCTGCACTTTCCATTTCAAACATTAATGTCACCAAACCTTACTTACTCAGTTTGTTCTAGCAGACCCCAATCAAATTTACCTATAAAAGATTAAAATAACGCTGGCATAAGAGTATATAGCCTTGTTAACTTTTAACCTAATTTAAAAGAAAAAGGTTTAGGCTTGAAGGTTTTAACATAAACAGATTACAAAGGAATCGTAGGAGTTTGTCTAATTAGACCAAATCCTAAAAGGATTTATATCAAAACGCTTTTTGCTGTTAAATATTATTATATATGTTTGAACACATCTAGCCGTTACATAACAAAACAATGTACAATATTCTCGAGTTTGACTGGCATACCCAATATTCTTTATTAGCAAGATTTTAATTTAAAAAAATCCCAAAACTTCATGCTAAAAGGCATGTTATTAAATACTTCAAGTACTTACTTAAAATAATTTTAAGTTACAAAAGGTTCATTTTTAAAAATCACTTTTTCTAAGATTCTTACCTTTCCATTTTTATGCAGTCCAACAGATTTATTACTTCCACAAAGATGGTGCATAGTACTAAGATATATCATGCAGCCCCAGCACTAAAACAAATCAATTTTAGCAGCGCTAATTCTCCATAGAGCACCACTTTCTAGCCGAGGCAGATTAACAACTGCAAATCCAAGAGAATCTATTCATAAAGTGGATCATCTCGAAGTAGAAGCAAATTCGTGAGTGTAATGCTTGCTTTTGGTACCTCACTTAGTTTTCATTGCTCAGATTACTTTAGTGAGAAACAATACCAACAGCAAACAAAGCTCAAAAGGAAAACCCCCACAAATTTCAAAATGATGCTGTTAGTATAAAAAAGAAAGGCTGACACATCTCAAAGCGCTGATCAACACCATCATGCATCTACCGCTGAGGTTAAAGCCCAACGCCCGGTATTTTAACTATTTGATCTTCACAGATCAGGCAAGGACTTGAAATCATCTCACGTGCAACAGTCTTTGCATAACACCCCATTATATCCATGCCACAAAAACGGGAAACTTGGTAGTTACCAATAAATAAGTTGGGGGTCAAAGGGACTAAAGCCTTAGACTGCTCTTTATCATAAGATATCCTCAGACAAACCTCCCCATTCTTCATTTTGGCTCTATAAAATTAAGGAGCAGAGAAAAACTGGTAAGTGCCTGACTTCACAAAGAAAATGCACTCTATATTTCCTTGGTCATTAGATCTATGTTTATAAATCAACTGTACCACTTCCCCAAGTCCTCCCCCTCAAAAAACTAGCTTAAAATAGGCACTTAATTGGTGGTGGTGGGGAAATGTTCCAAGTACTTCAAAGAATGTCAATTTAGGAATCTCAGCATGTCGCACTTTAGTAATTTAAGAATCAAGTTAAGTACCAGTGGCATGTTAAGAAAACCTGTGTTAAATTCCAACAAACATTAAAAATTGGATAATGGACCAATGTTTCTGGGCTTTATCCCCAAATTTAATTACGTAGTCACAGAACCAAATACCAAAAAGAATACAGAATTCATTCTAGAAATGTCAAAACTGAACCACTGTTTACCAAGTAACCAAGTAAAATAAAAAAAGGTATCTTTATTATTTAATCACAAAGTCTGATGTTTTAGCAATTATTATTCAAATACACTTATGTTCTCATTACTGACTATAATATGTTAATAGAAAATCTACTTTATCCACTGACTGTGTCCGTTTGCCTATAAAATGAAGGACTACCTCAACAAACCAGAAGACATTTATACAAACTGAGGAAAAGGGAAATTTAAAAGAAATTTTTCTGAAGAAAATAAACATTCTTAATGACAGAAATGTGTATTTCACCAATTTTAAAAGGGCTAAAATCAAAATCATTTTGCGATTTCCATGTATCATTAAGCCAACAGATATTTTCATTATAAATTCAAAGGCATCATCGGTGTTTAGAAATAATCAAGTAAAAGAGCTGATACCAAAGAGAAAAATCACAATACAAAGAAAACTAGATTAAAATAAATTAATTAGGACTTCTACAAATTTAAGGCTGCATTTAGGTAAGTGTCTTTATAGCTATATTTATAATTTTGGAAGCAAAATCATATTCATGACATAGGCTAAGTGAATACTATATCCCAAATTATAAGACCAAAAAAGCTACTATAAATCCAGTTTTGATAAATCCAACAAGAAATGATTTTAAAATATTTGTATCTATACATCCCAACTTGAAAATACCAACTACTGATAGTCTGGACAATGAAAATTTTCAGTATTAAGAGGTAAAAAATGGCATCTGTCTTAGGACATCTACTCTGATCGATACAGAAAAACCTCCAGAGCGATGAATCTCTATTACCGAGAAACACAGAACTTGGTACTAAAAACAGAAGGTTTAAATTACACATACCAAGACAATACACAAATAGGGTGGGGAGAGACACGGATAGTGCTCAGTGGTCAAGATTTTACGTAGCTCTGAAGCCTAGCAGATCTGGGTTTGGAATGCTAGGACCAGTCACTGGAATCTCACTGAGCCTCTACTTCTTCATTTGTTAAAAAGGTACTCTTGATCCTTCTCAGGGCATCCTGAGGATTAGCACAGGATGCTTCCCATCTAAGTGCTCAATAAGCATTAGCTATCATCATAGTTCTTTTTTGTTGTCATGGTGTCCAGACATGTTCTCATTACTGACTATATAGAATATGCTAATAGAAAACCTACTTTATCAACTGACTGACTGCCCTGTTTGCCTATAAAATGAAGGACTACCTAAACAAACCACAAGATGTTTATATAAATTGGGTAAAAGGGAAACTTTAAAGAAATTTAGCAGTTTTTTTTCATCTTATTCCACCACCTATTTTATGAACATAATATTTAAATACTCTCCCAAAGATGTAAACATGTATCATGTATCAACATATAAATGAATCTATTTTAGGAAACAAGCATCTTGTCATCCCTGGATTTGTGACAATATGTTGGCGGATAACCTGAATGAATAACAGGTTAACCTGAACAGAATCATCTGAAGCCTTACTGCCCCAAAGAGACTTTAGCCTTAACCTGCCATGTATTATAATTCACTCTAAATTCAGAATGGACCAGCTGTGTTCTGCCTCCTCAAGACCTGAATGGCTAAATTAAGAAAATGGTTCACTCAGACCACTGAATAGAAAATGTCTTAATGTACTATCACTTTGGTTTATGTACAAAACAATGTTAAGGTAGTCACAGATGAGAAATAGGGCCAAAGCTCTCTTCTAAAGATAAACTGTAGTTAACAGTAGTCAACTTTTTTTTTTTAAACTAGGGTGAGACAGGGAAAGAAAAATCTTAACATGGACCACAGACATCCCATGCTTCTCTCCACTCCTATTTTCTCCTAAAGATACAGAAATACTACTTCAAAAAGGGAGATATTACTTATTATTAAGATACTTCAATAGGAGAGATACACACACATACTCACAAATATGGACTTGGAATGACATTTTTATCCCCAATACAAGCCATGAAGTAAACTTAGTATATTTGTCATATTATAAAGTCTATAGCAATTGCTCAGTAGAGTTTGAAAAACAATTCAGACACAGGAAAGATCAGTGCCCTAAACACTACTCTCCAGGAAAAAATATATTAAAAGGCGAACTTCAAGAACTTTAAAAATGTTTTAAGACAGATATAATTAATCAATCAGGAAATGGTGAAGAACTTGGAAGAAATACCAGGTTCTGACAGAGCAGAATATAGTTCCATAATAATGAAATATAAAAGGGAACAAGGGAAGAGACAAATATGAAAAATTCCCAGTTCCTGATTCTGGTTTGACCTTATTTTTAGAAAAGTCTGATTAGTAAACAGCAAAATAAGGAGGTCTTAACTTTAAAACCAATTTTACAATAGGAGAATATGAGCTTGTGGTCACACTAACAGATGTGAAAAAAAAAAAACAAACTCACCAATGACGTATTTGTAGTCAATAAAGAACCATGGCAAACTACACACATGGAAAAGGGGCTGTGCTCATTTCACTATGGACAGTGGCTAGCATCAGGGCTGCCAACAAAAGATCCCACTTTTGGGGCACCTGGGCGGCTCGGTTGCTTGGGCGTCTGCCTTTGGCTCCGGTCATAATCCTGGAGTCCTGGGATGGAGTCCTGCGTCGGGCTCCCTGCTCAGCGGGGAGTCTGCTTCTCCCTCTGGCCCTCCCCCCTCTCGTGCTCTCTCCCTCTCACTCTCTCCCTCTCAAATAAATGGGTAAAATATTAAAAAAAAGATCCCACTTTTGCAGGCATCTTAACCACTGTTCGGTTAACTCAAGATCATTACATGTACAAGGTATTGTCTCCTATTTAATATATGTATGTTCTGGATGATGTCATCCCAATCTGGAGCAATCCTCACAACTGACCCAGTCAGTGACTAATGCAGAGCCATTACCGATGCCCTTCCTCCCATAGAGGCCCACAGCTAAGAGAGAGAGATTTATTCTTCTTAGTTCACATTTCTGTTACAACTGAAATGCTAAAAAATTGGATTTAACGCCTCCTTTAATAACACAACTTAATAAAAACACACTACAGGGGCACCTGAGTGGCTCAGATGGTTAGGCATCTGCCTTCGGCTCAGGGTCATGATCCCAGGGTCCTGGGATCGAGTCCTGCATCGGGCTCCCTGCTCAGTGGGGAGTCTGCTTCTCCCTCTCCTTCTGCCCCCTCCCCTAACTTGTGCTCTCTCTGTTTCTCTCTCTCTCAAATGAATAAATAAAATCTTTAAAAAAAAAAAGAAACACTACATATTTTATATTGACTAGCTTCTCCTTGTGCTATAGACTTTCTAATTGATTAAAACCACAATTATCGCTAAAGCAACTTGGTATCTGAATTAAGGTATCCTTAAGTATTTTGAAAAAGGTGGCCTTATCTACGAAATTTTAAACTTCAGAAATTGGAGGTCTAGAAATAACAAATATACAATTAACCCAAGACAACTGTGGAAATTGGAAATGGAAGGGGGTTTATCAATGGTTCTTGTGACATCAAGGCAAAATAAGAATATAGTCATTTGACAGAATATGGTTTGTTATTTAAAAAGAGCAAAGAGGGGCACCTGGGTGGCTCAGTTGATTAAGCATCCAACTCTTGGTTTTGGCTCAGGTCACAATCTCAGGGTCATGAGATTGAGCCCTGAGTTAGGTTCCCTGCTCAGTGCGGAGTCCGCTTGAGAGATTCTTGCTCTCCTTCTGCCTCTGCCCCTCCCCCACTTGTGCTCTTGTTCTCTTTCTCTCAGATAAATAGATAAATAAAATCTTTAAAAAGAGCAAAGAAAAGGCCAAATACTTTTTAGTTAGTTTTGCTAACACAAAACTAGAGAGTTCTACAAAGGGTGTAATTATAACACTATCATTTGCTTGGCTACGTTTGCACTTAATAGACATGAGGTGAAAATATGAACCAATCTGGGATGAAAATGACAGTCTCACAATCAGTTGATTATCCATCCACACTAATGCGAAAAGGGGTTACCTGCAGTAATCAGAACAATGAATGGAGAGTTCTCAAATTACTGTTGGACAAATCTTTTCCCTTCTTGGTCTGTCCTCTAAACATTTAGACTCTAGTGTTTTGGGTTCCAAAAATGGGCCATCAATATGACAGACCATCTCTAAAGCAAACAATCCATCCACAGATAACTAAGCTGATGTGACTGACACATACTCCAATCAGTATACTGCTCATGGACACTACATGCCAAGCATGCTTCAGAGTAATTTCTGAAACTTTAAGAATGAGGGAACATAACTGAGACTTCCCTAGCAATAGCAAAACATGCTAACGTCTAATAAAGAGAACTCCAATTAGCTTACCTCCTGCAGTAGATCAGCCTGCTCAATTGCTTTAAGGACATTTTTCTTGGATGTTTCCTGAACTTCCCCTCCCAAAAGAAACTCATCCAAAATAAAATAAGCCTTCTCAAAATTAAAGATGATATCAAGTTCACACACCTGAAAAGCAAGAAAAACAATGTTAAAACTGAAGAAAGCAAAAGATACTTACCCACCATCAGGTAGTGAATAAAATCTGATCAGAGTGAATCGATCTTAATTCTTTCTAAAAATGACAATCTTGCTAATAACTAAGCATCAATGATTTAGTCAGCTTAATTTTCAAATCTCAAGTACTTGGAAACACAAGGCCTACAAACTAAGTAAGACCTGATTCTGGAAGCTCCCACCATGGGCAACTTAATAATTCTCTACTCATCTCTACTCATAAACAATGATCTTTTTTAAATACATATTTCCTGAATAATGTGATTATAACTGCTTACCAAATCTAAATTCTATACTAAGCACTTCCAGAATATTAATTTTTGCAGTTGAACTCCTTTCTGTTTCACTATTTTAAACCTCATTCTCACAATCATCATTAAATGAGCAGGGCCATCAGGTCAAGCATTCCAGCAGTGAACTGACTGGGCCTGCTGGCAAGAGATAGTCAGCCCTTCCCTCCCCTGCAGTTACTTTCAAACAGAATCCCCAAGACAATCAAATAATAAACTTGTTACAGAAAAGATTTTAAAAAAATACTATGGCACTCAATTTCCTAAAACAAAATAATACTCACACTGCCAAAATACTTGTCAAGTAATTCCACATAACGATGAATTATTTCCAGGGTAATTAGCTCATTGTCCTGATCCTCAATAGCACAGCAAAAATACAGACTAGCGTATCTGTAACAAAGCAAATGTGGAAAAAATTTTACTCTATAAATGTTTTCATATCCTATTGTGAAAGATCCCATACTTACACAGTTTATTTCTCCTTTTACAATAGTATAGATTATTTTCCTCCTACACTATAAAAGGAATGAATGTATGTAGAGAAAGTTTGAAAAGTACAGGCAAGCAAAAAGCCAAAAAACCCAAAAAACAATCACTCAATCATACCATCTAGAAACGTAGAAAGAGTAACTCATTTTGGTCTTTTTCTTTCAGGCTGCCTTCTATGAATATTCTAAAACATAGCTGGACCCAGTTATGGAATACAATGAATGAAATATAATGGTCCTAAATTGTATGAAATATAATCTTATGTTTACCTAATTAAAACAAAAGGCACTGTGTGATTAATTCAAACTACAAATAAACAGGGAAGAAGATAAACTCTCCGACTGAAGGACTTATTGAAGATATTGTCAATGTGAAGGCAATGCCTGAAATGTTTTGCTGAAGTGTAATATATACAACAGAGAAGAACACAAGAAAACTTGAGGAGTTCTCAAAGTGCCCACCCATGTACCAGCACCCTGATCAAGAAACAGATTATGGAACTCCTGAATCCCCGCTCCTAACCCATGAGGTCACAACCTGCCACCAAGGGTAACTACTATCTTGACTCCTAACGGCATAGAACTGTTTTTAAGAAGGTTTCTAGGACTCTGGAATCAACTCCAAGAAAAGAACAGTTCTAAGTTATTACAGAAGTCAGAGAAAGAGAACAGGGGAAACGGAGACCTATTATCAAATTTTCCAAGTTCTACCTGTTAAATGGAAGTTTAGGTTATCTACCTCTTGAATATTAAGATTGGAAAACTCATATTCTCTTCCAAATTAGGATTCTAGCACATGGGACTACATTATACTTGACCCAAGGAAGTCAAACTTAACATACAACCTTGAGGCATAGCAAACAATGACCAAGTCTTTTGAGGAGGATTAAAAGACCATTTTCAAATGGTTTAAGTGCATTAAAAGCTTTTGGAAAAACAAACAAACAAACAGAAAACCTAAGACATTCTAAACAAGTCTCAGTTTCGACTGTAATTTTCACTGAGGAGCATTTAAGTGATTTTTAGAAAACACAACGAGCAATTACTACTTAAAGCATTAATGGAAAATAATACACACACACAATCTCAGTTTTGGAATTCAATGAATTCCTGCTTTTCAGTATGAGAATAATATTTACAGAATGCTCTATTATCAAATTGATCAAATAAAGATCAATTATTTGATCTTTCCAACAGCAAGCACCATCATTCTTGATGGTGGGGGGGGGGGGGGGGGAAAAAAACAAGGCCCAGGAGTACAGGGTCTGCCAAGTGGTTGCTCTGGGACAAGAAATCTGATCTTCAGACCTTTTCCCTCCCACTCCACCTTGGGGAGTCCCTCTTCATACACAGCTTGACTTTTTTGCCATGTCCATTCTACCTGACTTATACATTAAGTTATTTAAAATGGTAGGTCTCCTGCAGGCTTAGAGAGGCGGCTTTCGAATGTGTTCACTTATTAGCATGAAGGACATAAGAGGGCACCACCTCCAACTTTAACAAAGTGCTTCCTCTTTCCTAACCTATGGTTTTGTGTATCTGTTTAAAAAGGCAAGTTGGGGGGCGCACCTGGGTGGCTCAGTTAAGCATACAACTTTTGATTCTGGCTCAGGTCATGATCTCAGGGTCTGGAGATTGAGCCCTGTGTCGGGCTCTGCGCTGAGCATGGAGTCTGCTTGGGATTCTCTCTATCACTCCCTCTGTCATCCCCCATCCTAGCCCTGCTCACGTGTGCTCACTCTCTCTCTAAAAAAATAGAATTAGGGATGCCTGCGTGGCTCAGTCGGTTAAGTGTCTGCCTTCGGCTCAGGTCATGATCCCGGGGTCCTGGGATCGAGTCCTACAGACTCCCGCATTGGGCTCCTTGTTCAGTGAGGAGCCTGCTTCTCCCTCTGCCTGCAGCTCCCCCTGCTTGTGTGCGTTCTCTCTCTCTCTGACAGATATAATCTTTAAAATAAAATAATTTAAAAATTAAAATTAAAAAAAAAAAAGCAATTCCAACTCTCCATCCTCCCTCATCCATGCTCACAAAATAGTTTTGAATTTGGGGAAATTGATACAAATGACATGTTACAAGTCCCCAAATCAAGAAAACTAAATATTAAAGGAACTGACGTTAAAAATGGTAGATAAAAAACAGACATGACTAGCTGACATGAACAGAGCGCTATTTAAATAATCCCATTAGAAGGAATTTATTAATAGTTTTGGGTAAAATTCCTTTACTCTTAATGTCAACATTTCTACAATGGTACTGTTAAGCAATCTAATGCTTACACCATCCTCACTCCTTATCCACAGTACTGCCTCTTGACTTACAAATAAATAGCACTTAGTCAATTGTCCTTAATTGTGTGAATCATTTAGAAATATTAATTCAAATATCACCAGGACTGGGGCGCCTGGGTGGCTCAGTCAGTGAAGCGTCTGCCTTCTGCTCAGGTCATGATCCCAGTGTCCTGGGATCAAGCCCCGCATCAGGCTCCCTGCTCAAGGGGAAGCCTGCTTCTCCCTCTCCCTCTGTCTCTTCTCACAGCGTGTGTGCACTCTCTCTCAAATAAAATCTTAAAAAAAATAAAAAAATAAAAAATAAATATCACCAGGAATGATGTGTCATCCAAGCATCAAGCAGTATTTTTAAAATCCTGCAGTACAGGGGCACCTGGGTGTCTTAGTTGGTTAAGCATCTGCCTTTGGCTCAGGTCAAGATCCTGGGATCCTGGGATAGAGTCCCACATCGGGCTCCCTGCTCAGCGGGGAACCTGCTTCTCCCTCTCCCTCTGCTGCTCCCCCTGCTTGTTCTCTCTCTCAAAATCTTTTAAAAAACAAACAAACAAACAAAAAAAAACCTTGCAATACAAAATAAATAAATAAGTAAATAAATATAAAAATCCTGCAACACTACCTAAATGTTTGCTTTCACTCAGAATGGAAAAAGAGCCATCAATTAAACAAATTCTTTGTTGTAGGTGATTATCTAGTTATCAGGATTATAAGGCACCTCTCTACAGAAAGCTTATGGAAGAAACAGAATAGTTAACAGCTAGTATTCACTGAGGCCTCACTCTTGAGTGAGACACCAAATGTTTGCTAAGGCTTTTGCATATTTTACCATTTTAATCCTCACAACAATTCTCCCAGAAAGATACTGTCATTAACTTGCATTTATAGGGGACCCAGGCTTAACTGAGTAACCTCCCCAGGAATAGTAATTTGACTCCAAAGCCCAAGTTTCATATTAAAAACTATAGCCAGGAACCGTATTAAATAAAGTAATCCTGCACCTGGCAAAAATTAAAACTGAATAAGCAATATTTTAAGAGCTTTGAAGAGGGAGAGAAAAACTGTTATACTGATTTAGTAAAAGATTACCAAGAGAACCTGAAGTGTACTCCCTATTTTTAGAACCAAACGCTTTTTAAAAATTCAATTATGAGCTCATTTTGTTCTCTTAGTACATATTTGTAAGTCTAAATCTGAAGTAAAATTAATAATAGACTAGTAAGAAGAAAGGTATGTTTGGTTATTTTTAGCAGGGTGGATTAAGGCTTACTCTAATTACTGGCACTCAGAACATCTGAAAGTGCCTATTCTTCTATTCAAAACACATGACTTCTCCGCAGTCAGCTAAGTGTCAGCTGACTGGGCGTGAATGTAACTAAACTAGTCTCAATACCCATTGGTATGGCATTAAAAATTCTTTTGTTAGTAAAGAAAATACAGTACTGTGGCAAATTCTCAAACTAGTAATTTGGAGACATATGTATGTTTAAATTCACTGTAAAACTTTAATCTAGTGCCTCTTCCATAACATGCTGCATAAAACAGGAATCAAAAAAGCATAGTGAGATCTTTAAGGGATCTTCAAGAGCATTTAGTTCAGAGATGAGGAGACACACACAAAATGCCTTGTTCAAAGTCACGAAACTAGCTAAAGGTTCAAACCAAACAGAACTCAAGTCCCCAGATTTTCAGCCTCTTTTTTCAGCTATAGTCTCCTTATGGACCCCCCCTCCCCAAGAGGAGGAACTATTATGCGAAATGCTCAGCAAACAGAATGTGGCTGAGACAAATGGAAGAAGGAAGGCCTAAAGATCACTTGCTGACAGAAACAGCGACAGTGCTGGTTCAAAATTTCTCAGAAGCTAAGTGAGAATTCTTTTGCTTAAAAGGTCTTCTCTTCCAGCTGGACTAGGGGGGGAAAAAATCACCTGTTTATATCAACAAAGAATACGTTCTTAAATACGATATATAAGGTTTTCAGTATGAAATGGGGGCAGATTCATAGAAAAACTGATTAAAAATTCTAACTTCTGTATGTGAATTTTATCTCAATAAAGCTGTTTTTTTTTTTTTTAAGTGCACCTTTTATTTATAGGAGCTTGATACAAGTATCAGAGTCAGGTTAGATTACCCTTTATAGCCTTTAAAAGAAAAAGTGGTGGCCCAAGATGGGTGGGCTGAATACTGTGTGCGGGAACACAACGAGCGCCTCCTTTCCTTCCGTTTTCACAGGCCATTGCCTTCAGCTGCAGGAATCTCAATTCCTGGGATTGATTCCCTTGCTGGTATTTTCCTCCTCCACACGGGGGACTCCTTCCCCTATCTAGAAATAAGCTTAAGTCTCTCACACCTTTTTTAAAACTCTGTCCCTTACTCCTATGTCTGTGGGGGTGGTTACCACCTCTTCGCATCTGAAGAAGCTCCCAAAATAGTCTACATTTGCTGTTTAAAAGTCTCCACCTCTTCACGCTTCGCCCCATTTCTTCGAGAGTTTCTACTATTTCACTGAAAATGTTCCGACAAATGGCATTTTATGAACTCTCACTGTAAAACCTAATAGATTCTTTCTTCACTTTAATTGTTTTCGCAACATTTGGCACTGGTGACTTAATTTTCAAAACTCTCTCCCCCCCTCCTGATGTTACTGACCCTATACTTAGCCTCTCCCCCTTTGCCTGCCCCTTGAATGTTGGTGATCTACCACTTATGCCTTATTTCCGCCCTGACTTCCAAGCCCACCCCGAGAAAACCAGGCATCTCAAAGTCACCATGTCTGCTACCTCACGTTTACCGTCAGCTGAACCAGAAATGTGCAATCACTGCTCTCCCGGCCTCTAGCAGCGACCGAGCCTAAAACTTACCTGTAGTAACAGTTCACTCCACCTGCTGGGGCCCACAGCAGAGGTCTTCCTTCAGGGCCTCACTATAATGCAGTCTCCTAAGAGATCTCTCAGGCGCCAGCCTCAGCCCTCCCCCTTCCCATTCTCCAATTACAAGGATCCTTTCAGAAATGCATATCTGCTTTGTTCATCCCCATTTAAAACCTTTGCCTCCATGCTTCAGATTGGAGTTCTAGCCCCCCTTGTCAGTCACTAACTAGAATATGACCTTGGACAAGTCACTTCTCCCAAATTCTTCCTTTTATAAAATTGAAATTTAATCAAAAGCAGTGGTTCTAAAGCTCATGAACCATCTCTATGCAGAGGGTACAAGCCAAGTGAGCACAGGTATGAGATCCCGGTCCTGTTTTCATGAGAGCACCTCCACTTCCACTTGTTTCACTGAAGGTTCTAAGCTTGGGCAAAAAGCTTTATAAAAACAATCACCTGACTAGATTATTCCAAGACCTCTCCCAGCTCTAAAATGCTATGAGTTTTCTCAACAAGTACTAAACCAAAATCACCCAAAGATGACTAAATTTATTCTTTTGGGAAGAGGAGTTCTATGGTATTTAAAACATTCTCTCTGTCCTATAATCTCCTCCATCACCTCCTCTGCCATCTCCACCCCCCCCCCACGCAAAAACCCATCCACACCTCGAGGGGAATAAAGGAAACAGAGATAAAACCCAGACTTCTCTTCTACCCTCCTTGCAGCCCATACTGTTAGTTCCCTGCACTTCCCCTAGAGAAGACAATTTTTTATATGCAGAAACACTCTTCTTAAATACAGTAAATTATTTGTAAGGGAGGGAAATGGAGAAGAAACAAAGTAATTATATTTCTTTTAACCCTTGATTAGCCCAATCTTGAGAAATGTTATTTTAGGGTATTAAAAGACTTTCAGATATTAATAAAGACGTACATTTTTTTAAAGTTTAGTGTTCAAAGTCAGTATGAGTCATTTTGCAACATCAAAAATTTAAAAATCTATTCTTCGCAAAATTATCAGATCTAATTACACCTCCATGACAGCAACAAGTGTACTTCAAATTAATAAATACTACTAACAAAGAGATCTTATATATATAAAGTTTCAAAACCTCTATACGACTGAAATGGTCTCTGCATCCAAGGTGTTCATAAGATTCTAAAAGTCAGAAAAAAGGCATGGCAATTATCAGTCATTATAGATTTTCAAGAAAGGTTTGTCTAAATTCAGAGAATTACTCACAACATTTAAAATATGACCCCATTTTCGCCTGCAAAGAAATAAATTCACTGAATTTTTCTAAAAAGATTATTAAGTAGGAATAATCATTTATGCCTTTAATTACATAATTAGTTTTAAATCAACTTTCCTGATTTTATTTTTTTTGACTGGGTAATCAATAAAAACAGCAGTTATTTTAAAGACACAAAGCTTTAACTTAAATCTTTTTCACTTAAATCTTTATTAATCATTATTTATAAATGTCATTTCTCAAAAGTCTGCCATTACCACATTATAAATGACGGAACATTTGATCCTATTTCACCTTTCTGATAAATGAAAATTATACCTTTTGTAAACAATCTTCAGATCTCGCCACTCAAGAAAGCTGCACATTTTAGGTTTCCGTGCTAAAACGGTTTGAACAAGTTCTCTTGTAATCTTTTTCTTCTCTTTGTCTGATAGTGGGACATACCATTTCTGCAGTCGAAGCTTTCCCTGACGACTAAAAAGCAACATAAACTGCATCTGTTAAGATAAATAGAACCAAGATTACATGCAACACTTTGATTCAGTAAAGATTAAGATGACATGGTTCATAGAGAAGCTTTGGGGGCAGGGCCTTTCTTTAACTGACAAATGATTAGCAGCTATCAGTATTTCTATGCCAGTTAAAATAGCAGGAAAATTCTTGTAGAAAGACCTACCTACCAGATGCAGATCTCCCCACCCTACCCCACCCCACCCCATTCCACGTAAGTTTGGAGAGTAGTGTGTGGCAAAAAAACAAAAACAAAAACAAAGGTAAAAAGCTGGAGTGAAAATTTTGAGGAAAAAGAAAGATAACTCTTGCAATTTAGGACAACTACTGTCTACATTTCACACTCTGTGTATGCTTCAAAAGAGAATTGTTGACATCAACTGGTTTAAACACATTTGAAAGAAACAGCAGATCTACAACTATTTTTCATCCTGAGGCTGTTCAGTTGCCGGCTGAATTGTATTCAGACTATTACTCAGAATGCCCTCTTCAGTTTATGCTTTCGTATTTTAAGCAAAACAAAAGATCTAATATATTCAACAAAAAAAACCATAAATGCACATTTTTCTTAATAAAAGCCTGACTCTTAAGTATCTCTTCTCATCTTCACTTTCTAAAAATCCCAACATAAATATACACAATAAAGAAGTGGGTTAATGTAACAATATGAAAGAATATAAACCTTAAAAAGCCAAAATTTAGTCACACACATGCAGACATTACCCAAAATACCTCATTTAAAACAATTTTTTTGAAAAGCATCTACAGATGGGAGTGGATGCTGAATTCGAGTGTATTTTACTTAAACTATTTTGTATACATGTATTTGGAACCTCAAATCTGTTGATTAATTTATGTTTAATTGTAAAGGAAAGCTTCTTGTAATCCAACTAACTGGTCTTCCCAACTGCAAACAGGTAAGCATTGTTTCTACAAAAAAAGGTACAATTCAGACAGGTTTTTTTTTTCCTTGTAACTGCTGTTAAGTTCCTTTAACAGTGTTACTACAAGTAAGATTCCAGCCCGATTCTTAATATGCACCACACCATCTTAAATCTGAATATGGGGTGGGGGAATTTACACAGCCAATTTAGAATAAAATGGGCTCTAAATTTCGCTAAGAAATTGTTGTCGCTTTTTGTATTAATCCAAACGGGCATCAACAATATATTTAGAAATTTATGATGTGGCAATTTAACTTTATTTAAAGTTGGCTTATTACACCTCACTTAAAGCCTTCACTGGCACAAAATAAACGAACGATATTCTTGATGTCAAAGTGCCTCCCATACAAGTCCTGTTAAGACAGCGGCATTCGGAGGGGGACAGCAAGTAAAGCATCAACTGGACGTTGAATGTAAAGCCGTTACCAGAACTTTGAGAATAAAAGACCCCTATTCTAGGACCCTGACGACCTGGAGGAGTGGCGGTTTGCTTTCTAAAAGAGTATGAGCTCTAGGCTGTCTGTATCCCCTCCCTACCACTTTATAGAACGAATAAATAATTCAGTCTTTAAAATAAATTATGTGCCAACATGGGACGATACCCGGTTGCGAAGCACAAGTATTCCTTCCCTCCGGTTAAAAACTAATGCTTTGATTTTGCAATTTGCAAATGACAGGGCACCTCAATTCCTCGAGATTGGTTATTAAAAACAATAGGCTCAGCCGCGGAGCGGGCTCAGGGCCAGCGTTCCTCGGTCCGGCCGTCTCCGACGCCACCCCACCGCCCCATGGGGTCGCACTCCATCACTGACCGAGCCCGGGCGAGGTGACCGGCTAGGAGCCGGGCAGACAATGGCATTCGCCGCCGCGCAGGGGGCGCCAAGGGTCCTCCGCCGCCACCGCCCCCGGCCGCGGGCCCCTCCCGAAAATGCCCCGCAAAACTTGAGGTGATTCCTGAACCACAGGTGCCGCGGGGCCCCCCGCATCCTCGGGGAGCGGGGCGGAGTGGAGAGGGGCGCGGACGCGGAGAGAAGTGAGTTGCCGGGCGCGGCGACCCACTGGCGGGCCGGGGCGGCCAGGCGCGGGGTGGGGTCGTCGGGGCGCGCGCGGGGCCGCGGAGGGCGCGCCCAGCCCTCCCTCCCGGCTCCCTGTCCCCGACGCCCCCGCTCGCCCCCCGGGACTTACGGCGGCCGCGGGCCGCGGGCGCGGCTGGGCTCGGCTGGCGGCGGCGGTGGCGGCGGCGGCGGCCGAGGGGAAGCCCCTGTCGCCGGGCTGAGGAAGAGAAGCCGTGTTGCTGTGGGGAGGGGACCCAGTTAGCGGAGGGAAGGCTTAGGCGGCGAGGGGAGGGCGAGCCGACAGACCCCGCCCCGTGGGCCGGACGAGGGAGGAGCCGGGGCTGCGGCGAGCGGAGGGGCGGGCTGGGCGACGCGCGGGAAGCAGCTCGGCCTTCGCCAACGGCACCGGAGGCAGGGCAGGTGACCGCACAGTCCAAGAAATCCGATTGGCGGCGTCGCTACGGAGAGGGGTGGTCCGGGCCGGAAGTCAGGCCACGTGACCCGGAAGGGGCTTCTGCCAAGGCCCGCGCGCCTGCGTGCTCCTGCGTGTGCCTTCGGAACTCGGGCAGACGGTTTCCCCGGCTCTCTGGTGGTGGGGGACAGGGTTCTGCGGTGCCCTTTGTCGACCCCGCTCTGCGGGGCAGGGAAGGTCAGGATCGCGAAGAGCCAAGTTCGAGCTCCGATAACTCTCCGTGCCCAAAGAGGGTGGGGCGGGGAGGCGTGACTGTCCGTACTGATGGTGAGGGGAGAGAGGGAGTGCTGCACCTCTGGGGAAAACAAGTCAGCTCTGTCGTGGAGCTAGTGCACGCGTTCAGAGGGCCTTTTGCAATTATTCAGCCTCCAGACTGCCTGGAATCCAGCCCGTCCTTTCTGTCGCACTGCTACAGCCCTAGACACCTTTTGCCCCAAGCTGTGCAAGTGTCTCTTCCCTGGGCTTGCCTCGCCTATCCTCAGTGCTGCGGACCTGATGAACTACTGTCCGTTCTCTGCTGAAAAGCCCAGACAGCATCTCGTCTTTGAGATCCCACTTCCTTCACACGGAGTCGCGCCCCCCGCCCCCCCACCCCAAAGCCGCCTGGGTTCCAGTTAACCTTGCCGAAGACGTGCTCTGCCTGGCATGCGCTTCCTCTCAAATGTTACATCTATGAAGCCTCACCCTCAAACCCTGTAAGAACGAATCCCTCTTTCACCCACATGTTCGTTAGCCTCTGTTTAGCATATCTTGAATTTTATTCATTTCTGCATCCCCACGTGTCCATTTGCCTCTGTTTAGCGCGTCTTGAATTTTATTCATTTTTCGTCCCACCCTAGTTCACTGCCTGGTATATAACACATCTAATAAGTGGGAGTTGACTGATGAGGACTATAAAATGATAGATTTGTTAAGAACCATAGTGCTGAGCATTGTGCCTGGCACATAATGGATGTCCATATTTTTTTTAATGAAAAGAATGGATGAATCATCTAGTCCGACTCGTCTTTTACAGATGAGAAAAGGGGAAACACGGGATTAAGTGACCTTGCTTGAACAGCCATGGGTTTCTCATGTTGAATGGTATTCATTACCCCAGTCACCTAGGTTCTTAAAAGGAAGCTGGAAAATTGCTTTTATTGCGCTATGCCCTTTTTGCAGAGGTTCCCAAACATAGTCGCCAGAATTTTTTAATGGCCCAAAGTGAAAAAGAAATGCTAGGTTTTTCACGAAGCTAAATTTAATCAATTTAAAGGAATCCTTTATTAGGGATTGTTCTTTTTTTGTGGTAAAAGGTCTATAAAACTATGATAGTATATAACAGGGATTTGAGAGCATTTTTAATGCCCTTATTTGGCAAAATAAAAATGTATAATACCTCCCCTTTTAAGCACTAGTATACTACTAGGAAAATTTCCTACAAATATGTAGGATAATGTATACTGGAAAACAAGTGGCCGACACAAAGCACAGAGCTGGCTTTCTGTGGTCTTTAGGCCCCCTGCCCAAATTTCTCTCTGCTTCCTAACCAGTCGTGCCCCAAGTCACATGTTAATGTCCCATTTCTCCCGTGCTACACAAAACAGATGCCATTAACCAGTTCAAAGATAGATTGAATACTATGCAATGAAACCTTGCCCTCTGAATCCAAGTGCTGTTTTTCTCTTTTTGCGTACAAAGCACATATATCCTCAACGTTCCTAAGCTAACCACCTACAAGTTTAAAGTCATTGGTTATGATCCTAATGTTGGTCTGTGGTTCTGAAAATGAAGACAGGAGACTTGCTGATGACATATTGGCAGTCTCTGGTGCTCCTAGCCAAGAAAAGGTGGGGGCAGGGGGTAGAGAGGGAAAGGAATTATGGGAAAAATAATTAGCAGCTGAAAGCAGCTATTACATAATCTTGGCTGCTTATTAATTTAGAAGAAGGAATGGCTTATTAAATTCTAATAGCAGCACAACTGCAAACAACCTAGCAATTAACAATGCAGGGCCCATTATTTTGTTAATATGTTCTCTTTTTTTGGCAAGTGTATAAGAACAAAATTTATAGAAGCAGATGGTCTTTTTCAGTAGATTATAGATGGTTTTTCCCCAGTCTTAGTATTAAGTGCTTTGGTCTTTCACAGTGAATGCACAATTAGCACTTATTGTTCTTATTATTAGCAGTTAATTACTAACAAAGACAGTAGCTGCTTGACTTTGATCCCAACATTTTCCAAATTGTGGGCTTTCCTATATACATATTTCTTCTCACCTAGTATCTTCTTCATCTGTCATGTTAATAGGGTATCTTTTTTCATCCTCTGCTTTTGTTATCTGGGTGGTCCTGATTTCTTGGTTGTTAATGATGATACAAAAATAATTTCTTATGAAAAATTAAAAATCAGATTTTATACTTTTTTTGGTACAGGAGACATTTATTACAAAATAATTTCTCATGGAACAAGAGCATGTACTTTCATGGTGCAAGGCTGCCTGATGTTTCCCAGGTTTCAATGGCCCAGGCAGATAAAGGAAACTCAGCAAGGTCAGAAGAAAGAAGAACAGTTCTATCCTTAAGTAGGAAAAATAACCGTGTCCCAAGTATACAGAAGGGGAACAAATGAAGTATTTCTGGTAAACTGCCTTTTATTTATTTTTTATTGAGATATAATTGATATATAACATTATATTAGCTTAAGGTGTACAACATAATTTGATATTTATATGTATTTGTGAAATGATCAGCACAATACGTCTAGTTAACATCACTTGTTTCTTAGGGAAAAAAAAAAAAGGTGCCTAGCTTTCATTTATGCTAAATGCAAGAGGTGAGGGTGAAATAAGGATTTTGCCTTCTAACAATAAAATTTTGAGATTTTTAATGTAATCTTTTAGAAGTTTTCAAAAATAGCTTTAGTTTTAGTTTCCTGTTAAATGTGTGATGGCCATATGCTTTTATCTACTCTTACAAAATGCCATTAAATGAAAAAAAAAAAAAAAGGAATGTTTATATACCCACATGGGCAATAAGAGAGGGGACATTAGCATGAGGATGTCACCAAGGATGTCTCGGAGCACTGTTGGCACATCGTGAAACACTGATGATTTAGGTAAAAATTGTAATATATTTATATTGAGAATACGGAGGAGCAGAAGTGAGGGGATGTTGAAATAATGCTAAATCCTCATGCACTAGCAGTAAGAAAATAGATAACATCTAACATAAACCAAAAAATAGAATTATTAGTGTATTCTTTAGATACCAGGAAGTAAATTCCAGAAGCAATGACGACTTTTCTCTCCAGGGACAGAATCTTGAGGGAGGATGTATTAAAGGTTATTATTACACTTTATTTCAGTGCAGATTTTACTTAGATCATTTTTTTAAAATATTGTAATGAAGTAGATAAAAACTCTTCTGTTAGTGTCAACACTATATTATGGACTTGTACAGCATTCCTTTAGCCTGTCTATATGTTACTTAGAGATTATTAAATAAAAATGCCCTTGTAATGGAATTCAGCACTGAATCAATGTAGAAGGTCACAGTTTTAAGTGTAAAAAAAAAGATGCTTAGAGTTTGTGAATTTGCATCTCCAAAGATAAACTTGTTCCAAGGAGAAAACTGGCCTAAAATAATGAGGATTTGTGAATCAATCATTTCAAATAGATAAAGCTGTCACTGCCAAAGTCCTCAACAATAAGCTAAAGACAAATGTGGGACATCCACTTTTCCCTGAAGCCTGTTTCCAGAGCTTTGAATAAAATGCAGGAAAATGACTCTTCTTTTAATATTAGGCCAGAGCAGTGATTCTCGACCGAAGCAATTTTATCCCCCGATCCCCTGGAGGACACTTGGCAGTGTCTGGAGACATTGTGGTTGTCATATTGGCGCCTAGGCATGGGGCAGGTGGGGCTGCTGCTGTATTGCACAGGACAGTCCCCTACGGAGAATGATCCAGCCTCAAATGTCAACAGCGCTGGGGCTGAGAGGCTCCAAGTTAGTCATTGAAAAGCTTAGCATGCAGTAACCGAGCTCTTTTTTTTTTTAAAGATTTTATTTATTTATTTGACAGAGAGATAGACAGCAAGAGGGGGAACACAAGCAGAGGGAGTGGGAGAGGGAGTGGGAGAGAGAGTGGGAGAGGGAGCAGGCTTCCCCCTGAGCAGGGAGCCCGATGCGGGACTTGAACCCAGGACCCCGGGATCATGACCTGAGCTGAAGGCAGGTGAGTCACCCAGGTGCCCCAAAAATTCCATTTCTAACAAGTTTTCAGGTGCTGCTGATGCCACTGGCTCAGGGACCACACTTTAAGAACCACTGCTCAGGGGCGCCTGGGTGGCTCAAATGGTTAAGCTTCTGCCTTTAGCTCAGGTCATGATCCCAGGGTTATGGATCAAGCCCCGCATTGGGCTCTCTGCTCATCAGGGAGCCTGCTTCTCCCTCTCCCTCTGCCTGCCTCTCTCTCTCTCTCTGGCAAGTAAATAAATAAAATCTTAAAAAAAAAAAAAAAAGAACCACTGCCAAAAAAAACCCCACAAAAAACAAAACCCAAAAACAAAACAAAATAATATGATACCTAACTGGCAAGTTCTCAAGCCAGCAATTGTGATATAATTTTCCAGACTGGTGATCTT